TCAATATAAAAACGCAGCTTTAAAAGAAACTTTATAAAAATACTTAGTAGCACTAGAGATATATTATATTTAAAAGTGTATGTAGGTACTACTTTTTTATATTATTAGGTACATTTCAGATTCATAATTACGTAATTTGTTTAAATGTTGTTTTTTATAAGTTAAATGAAGATTATGTTATATCTATAATCTTGTATAATACCTATTCCAATTATTTTTAAATAACTTTAAAAAAAATTATCGTCAGTTAAACAGTTTTTTATGTGGTAGAGCCATGCTGCAGCTATAATAGTAGTATAGTTGTAGCACGAATGAGGAGGCTCGACCGGGGAAGACCCACGCTCTCACAGAATACCGGCGTAAAATAGCAGCTTAACGCCGCTGTGTTTCGTGTGGTGAGTGTAAGAGAAGACAGGAGACCTTTTTTACTGGAAATGAGGCATTTCATTTTAGTCCTGATGGGTGATAACGTTGACAACGTCATTTTGACTCGTAATCCAGGATAGATATAGATGTCTATAGGCCACAGCAACCACTTACCAAGGTAAATGGAATGAGACTGTGTGCTCATTTGTCACCCTTATCCAATAAAAAATCGTAGGACAAAATGCAAATAAATTGAAAATTACAACCGTATGAATAAAATAGTCAAGTTATATCCTGTGTGATGGGTAACTGTTCTTATCTTACGATAAAAAAAAAATTTTCGCCTGATCTACGCAGCATCAGCTTACTGTATCTTGAAGTCCTGCGATGGTACGATTGGGTTAAATTTTAATTTTATTAATAACAGGATCCCAAGCAGGTGGTAGAACCTAGTATCCTTCTCTATTGTAATTAGGATGCTTTTTAATTTCAATAGTCTCACGTATCATCCTTGATGGAAATCGAAATATTTTTGCGAGGTTTTGTTCTGGAAAGTCTATAGTTTGTGATCACATCCTTGATGTCCCCCACCATACCCACCCTACCACCCTCCCACCCCACCAGATTTGGTAATCCAGAAACCCTCATGTAGTTTTCACGTGATTATGAGAAATTAAAATCCTCATGTAGTTTTCGCGTGAATATGAGAAATTATTATGGGTTTAGTTCATTTTAATCATACAAATTAACTTAATCATCAGCGAGCTAAATCTTTAGTAATCGGTCAATAACCACTTACTGATATTTTCCATAGATAGAATTTAATCTTTACATATAAAGATAATTTTACTTTGTTTCTGGAATGAAACAAAGTCCAAAGATTAAACGTGATCCTTTATTAAAACAATATACGTAAGTGATCGTAAATCGCAGTACATAAAAATATCTATTTACTTAGTTTATTGCGTTAATAACAGGCGTTCGAACTCATAGGAATATCAGTCGGACACTAACTAAACTAAGTAAATAGTAGATATAAGTGCGAACCCGATCTAAGCGATTGCTTGTTTGGAGAGACAGTATGCTCCTCACTGACGCTGATTCTTTCTGAATCAGCGGTACTAGTACTGAGTACTTACCAAGCCTAAACGTAAAAGTAAGTGGCTGTTAGTTTTTTTTCAGGGTGACGTAGAGGCCTCTTATAGCTTGTATACCACAGGAACTGTCTGCGATTCACGTTCAATCTGTCACTAATCAAAACGTAACGCCTTACAACCTAACAATGTTTTTCATCGCCTGTCTGAATATTTGTTGTTGGCATCGGTCTTAACGCGTCTTTTTCGGTACTCCTACTCTCTAGGCGTAGTACCAAATACATGGAAGACGGCTTTCCTCTACCCGATCCCTAAGAAAGGTGACCGCTCAGACCCGTCCAACTACAGGCCCATCGCCATCACCTCCTTGTTCTCCAAAACAATTGTAAACTGCCAGCTTATGACGTATCTTGAGAATCACCAGCTGATTAGTGATCGCCAATACGGGTTTCGTCGTGGTCGATAAGCTCGTTATCTTCTGGTCTACCTGACTCATAGATGGGCGGCGGCAGTAGAGTCCAAGGGGGAAGCATTGGCCGTTAGTTTGGACATTGCGAAGGCCTTCGATCGGGTTTGGCACAAAGCGCTTCTTTCCCTTGGTCCCTTCCTATGGGCTTCCCGAGAAATTGTGCAATTGGATCACCAGCTTTCTTGCAGGTCGGAGCAACAAGGTCCTTCGTAGAGGTTGCAAGCTCCGATTACAAGCCTATTAGCGCTGGTGTTCCACAAGGCTGCGTGCTATCACCAACGCAGTTTCTTCTGCATATCAATGATATGATGCAAACCTGCAACATTCATTGCTATACAGATGACAGCACTGGTGATGTTCTGTATACCGGCCATGCTAAAACGTCTAGCAGTATAAAAACGAAAAACGTATCCGAGTACCGGGACAAACTAGTGTCTGAAAGCGAGTCTTTGCTATATAAGTCTCAGATTAGGGGCGACTTTGCGCGTTAACCGCTAAAAAGAACCCCTTTGTCGTATCTCCTCAGTTTCAAAGCACTCCCCTTGTTGCCTTAGTCAGCATCGTAATCCTCGACGTCGACACATCGAGTGACGTGCAGTTTCGTGGTCACTTGGAAGAAAAGGTCAAATTGGCCTTTAAAAAACTTGGCGTGCTCAATAGAGCAGGACAGTATTTCTGCCTGCAACTTTACAAGGCGCAGGTTCGGCCGCACATGGAATACTGTTCCCATTTCTAGGCTGGGCCACCCCAATACCAGCTCCTTCCACTTGACCGCATCCAGCGCAGAGCGGCTTGAATCATCGAAGACTGAGTGCTTTCCGATCGGCTCGATTCACTGGCGTTGGGAAGAGATGTTGCATCTCTTTGCGTATTTTATCGCATCTATCACGTGGAGTGCTTTAAGGAATTGTTCGGATTAATCCCAGCCGCCAAATTTCATGAACGCACTACGCGGCAAACCTCCCGATACCATCCACATCATCTGGAGGCTTGGCGGTCCACCACTGTACTGTCGCTAGCTCTCTGTGGAATAATTTACCACCGATGATTTTTCCGAACCAATACGACCTGGGGAACTTCAAGAAAAGAGCTTACTCTTTTCTAAAGGGACGGTAACGAACCTGCAATTCCCCTGGTGTTGCGGATGTTCATGGGCTGCGGTAATCCTTAACATCAGATGAACCGTATGCTCATTTGCCCTTTCTTTAAAAAAATTATATATATGAAGTATATATATATATATATATATATATATATATATATATATATATATCACACATAGTGTATATATACCGGGTACTATATATATTTATAGTTGAACTTGAATTTGTTATTTGAATAAAAAATCATAAGTGCAATTAGTTTAATTAAAATTTTCGTATTTTTAAAAGAATACAAAAAAAAAAGAGCTCGAAATAATAGATTTTCTCACAAAAGAAGGGAACTTGAAAAAAAAAAGTAAAAAAATCGGACCGTAGAGAGGACGCGAACCAAGGCATTACGATTTCGCGACCGCTCGATATCCACTTGAGCTATTACGATATTAACATAATATTGTAGCAGTTTTTTTTCAGAGAAAAAGACGTTTTCTAAAAATAAATCCTAGCTAAATCAATTTATTGCCCCCCGAAACTCCCTGGACACTAAATTTTATGAAAATCCTTGGAGCCGTTTCCGAGAATCCGATTTTATATATATATATATATATATATATATATATATATATATATATATATATATATATATATATATATATATATATATATATAACACACACGAATTGCTCGTTCAAAGGTATAGGATCTAAATATATACAAATTACGAGTCACGTTGTTCGTCCGCGATGGACTCCTAAATTACCTTGGTCCAACTTAAGAGATAGGATAGTTTTTTGCCCATGAGTGACCCACAATTTTCTTTGTGAATTTAAGGTTTTGTAATAGTACATGACAAAGCATCATCGAAAAGGGGAAAATATGTTATTGCAAAATAACCCTGTACAGTCACAAATTGTTGTTGATGCTCATCTTAGGGGTCCATAGAGCCAGAGAAGAACTTGAACTAAGTGGTGCAAGTATGCCTCTGAGAGACTACATATTTGTATCCTTTGTGTCCGTGGGGTCGACATGCGTGAGAGTTTTAAAGAAACTGTATCGGCGACTTGAAGTCGCTGTTGGCAATTCGCTTAAAGGCTTAGTATAGCTATTCAGCGAGGAAACGCAGTCAGCGTTTCTAGCACTACATCGCGGGGAATATGATAATTTTTTTGGGACTTTATGATAATATGTTTTAGTTTAGTTTTTTTATAATGGTAATAAATATTGTACACTTTAATGTTATTTATAATTCTGGGAAAAAAGTTATAATTGATTAGTCAAATGAGATGTTCCAAAATTTATGCAGCCTGGGCCAGGGAACACATTTTAAACGGTTCTCAACCGTCCAATTACTTTAAAATGGGTTTGTTTGCTGGTAAAGCACAGGAAGTTACACTTGAAATGACAACACACAATGAAAACCCATCATGGCGGTAAGCTGTCATTTTTACTGATGTGACGTTGACATTTACATTTCAAGCATGGAGGTGTTCTCTAACCTCCATGATTTCAAGTATTTTTGACACTGTTGTGAAAACTGACAGTTCTCTTTCTATGATCATTGGTCGCTTTACTGTCACTGTCTATAAGCACAGAGTAACTAAAGGTTTTCGCACATTATAACAACTCACCGGCGACTCGACTCTATGCTAGACATTGAAATTTAAGCCCTGTATCATATGTTCAAGGTTCAATTTCAAAAAATGATTATAAAGTAGTGTACAACGAGTGGCCTACGCATCGTACACTAGAGGTCAACCCCGACACGTTTGTCACGCAATGACCATACGTCGTCCACGCAACGACCAAACGTTGTCCACGTAACGACTATGCGTTTGCGACTGACGCGTGACGGGCAACCATTTGCCAGCCCACCCGTCCGCCCCGTGCCTTCCCCCCGCCCGCCATCATTCACTATAGAATCGAAGGACGGAGTGCACGTTGGCGGTACACGGTGATAATTTTTCGAAAATCATGCTGAAAGAAAAGTTGATAGAAGAAGTGCGAAAATATCCGCTACTATACGACCTTCGTGATCCGAAATATAGTGACGTACATAAGAAGGAAAAGGCATGGAATGAAATCGCTATTGTATTGTCGCAACCAGGTAAGAATTTTTTTTTTGAGTTATTGATTTTGCCATAATCTACAGAAATTCAGCTATCGAACAAATAAATATGTGTGATTCTAATAGATATTAATAATAATGTTAAAACTTATAAGTCATTTCATTAAAGTACATTGTTGAGAAAATTTAATTCAACCTGTTACATCCAAAAAGTAGGTATGTTATTGTACAGTTAACAGTACCTACGATTTTCTACTTGGACACTCGAAAAATCTTGGTTTATCGTAAAAATTAGTTTTTTCACATACAGTAATATAAAATCCCAGAATTTACTGATATAAAATATTAAATCTACGTCATATATTTTTTTTTAGTTTGGGTTTCTGTATGTTATAATAAAGTGCCTTACGTTTATTTAATATAGGTAATCAGTAATAAAATCCCAGCTTAGTATAGAAACTTGTTTAATATTCTTAATAAGCCAATAATATTATAACCAACTTCTTACGATTATTACATATTAATTATACATGATCTATATTAAATGCTGCCACGGAACTCGTCCTTCGGGAGATTGAAAATAAGTTGCAAACATATCACGAGTTTCAAAAGCAGATGCCGAAGATTCACTTATATCTTCTGGAATTGTACTTAGATTACTTAGTAATCTCTGTTCATCATCATTATTGGCCGAACTCTGCCTTGTGTTGACTTCATCATCGGATGTTATATTATAACACCGCATGACATTGTGTAAAATACACGTCGCAAAGACCACAATATCAACATATTTTGGGTGTAAATGCAAATTCTTATTATAAATTCCAAATTTTTGATATAAGATGCCGAACGCGTTTTCAACTACTCTGCGAGCTCGCGATAAGCGATTATTGTATATTCTTTCCTTTTCTGAAATGCCACTTGAACGTGGATATGGTCGCAATAAATTCCTTTTTAAAGGAAACGCTTCGTCGGCTACAAAAACATGTGGCATTATTATTTCAGTACCAGGTAATGGTGTGTCAGTTGGAATATTAAATGTATTCATTTCAATCGCTCTTCCTAATCTTGACGATGCCAAAATTCCGCCATCACTATTCTTGCCATAGGCCCCTATATCGACAGCTATAAATCTGTATTTATCATCGACGACAGCCATGAGGACGATAGAGAAGTGTTTTTTATAATTAAAAAATAGCGAGCCGCTGCTAGGAGGAGCAATTATGTTTACATGTTTGCCGTCGATGGCACCTATACAGTTTGGAAAATTCCATTTTTTATTGAAACCATCTGCGATTCTTTTCCAGTCTTCGGTAGTAGGTGTGGGCATGAACTTCCCCTTCATTGTATTTATAATCGCATTGCACACATCTTTTAATATCGACCGGATGGTACTTTCGCCTAACCGAAAGCTTGAACTCATAGTCCTAAATGAACAGCCACTAATCAAGTACCTGAAACAACCAATTTTTCTTTATATTTATATTATTTTGTTACAGCGTCAGAATGTAAGAAGATATGGCAAAACTTAAGGGAATATCATAGAAGAGCCATTAAAAAGAAAACAACTAAAAGTGGTCAGAGTGCTAATACTAATAAAAAATGGCAATATGAAACTGAAATGTCTTTTTTATTACCACATTATAAAGAACGGTCTACAGTGACGTCAGTGGACAACACAGATGATGGTGATGATGAAAATAGCTTATCTGCTGCGGAAATTCTTGCCAATGTGACTAATAATGAAGAATCTCAAGACTCGTCAATTATCTCGGAGCGTCCTGAATCTTCGGTGTCTATGTACGATTCATCTAGATCAGTGTTTCCTGACATTCCAAAAACGACAAAACGAAAGAAATTGCAAGAAACAAGTGCATCGGCGGTTTTAATGGAATATTTATTAAAAAAAAAAACGATGAAGATGGAAAGCAGAATGACGAAATGGATAAATTTTTTTTAAGTATTTCTAGCACAGTAAAAAAATTATCTACCTATAATCAAGCACTTTTAAAGTCAAGAATTTTTAATTTAGTTTCGGAAGCTGAAATACAAGAACTGCAAAATAATCGAAACTGTTACTATGATGATTTTTTTGCACCAGGAACTTCTGGCTACACAACTCAAAACCTAAATGCAGGTACTACCGGTAGTAGCACCGCTAGCACCCAACAGCAAAATACAACGCCTATGGAAGAATCGAGGGTTGATGGTTCTTCTTAACACAATTAAAGTAAAATTGCTTTGCTTTGATTTATCCTTTAACTTGATATATAAATAAATACATATAAATTATAAAAAAAGTTTCTTATTGCTTACCTTAATGTCACTGCCAGCTTTTCTTCCGGTGATACAGCTTCTCTAAATCGCGTGTTTCTTTTGTAGATGTCGTCCTCAATAATATTAAGTATATAATAAAACAAGTATCTCGGCATACGGAAATAGATATAGAATTTTTCTTCGTCATCTAGCAGACGTTTCCGGATATTCCAATATTCCCCTTCTGATTTCCTTTGTCGCAACAAATCATGTACCCAATATCTTCTTTTCCTGCTGTTTCGTTCATTTTCATTATCAAATATAATAGCTATAATCGCCAGTTCACTGAATGTAAAGTTCGACATTTCATAAGCAACACGACTTCTTTGGACAAAATTTAACCGAAAACTGAGGTTAGACGAGTTGTCTGTTGAATAACCCACTCGTTGGCACCGCGTTGGCCACTCCTTGACACCGCGTTGTCCACTAGTGACCATTGGGTGGATCAACTAGTTGACTACTCATCGAGAGTGTGAGTAGAGTTGCTGCCGCGTTGGCGTGGAGTTGTTATAATGTGCGAAGACCTTAAATCGGTGAGACGCCATGTTGAAAGAAGATAAAAATAATTGATAAACATTAATTGTTTACCACGACAGGATACATTTAAATGAATTATCCGTATTTTACCCGAATTTTCTCTTTTCTGAGGTTATGTACATAGACCGGGACCATTTTGAAACATCTGCTTTGTAACATAATTAATAAAACAATAAACACCAGTTGTTCAGTTTATTCTTAACTTTAATGCAGACTAGAATAATACTCTTAGAAATGAGAACAACAATAGTTATTTCACATGTTACAGTGTACCTACCATATATATCAGCTTTCACGATAAAAGGCTATTTATTATCTGTGGTTTCTCAATGTAAATAAATCTTATTCACAATAGCTAGCAATATAAAATTACATATCAGATTTTATATTATCTATATATACTTTAACATGTAGCTCACGAAAATATTGTAGTTTCGGCCAGTGTCCTAAAACGATTTATTTATTTAAAAAAAATTAAGACACTCCTCGGGTCGTCGGATTGAGCAGATTCTTAAAATATTGTGTTACCTTTTGTTTAACCAATCAGTTTTTTTAGATTTTTTATTTTGTGTTAATAGTTGCCAGGAACTGTAAAGGGGGAAGAATTTAACTGTGATATCACAATTTATTCCAAAAAAAAATTTAATTTTTGAAATAAAATGTGATAACTATTAGATAGATAAATGTTTGAACATTGTGTAACACTGGCCTTTAGAAAAATAATACAGATTAGAAATAGTAAGAGGAAATAAGAGTACCTACATATATGGAAAGCATTAAAACTCGAAAGGGTAAATAGACAGAAGCAGGTTTTCGTAAGGAGAATTACAATTACATGATTTCTTTTAATTATTGTTTTTTTTTATATATAATAACGTAAAAACTCGTCCTCAGAGCGCTAAGCTTAGTTAAAATCAGGACATACATATTGATATAGATTATATAGTAATGCTATAGCCACACTATAAAATTTACAAAATATGACATATCTTTTGAAACGCTACAAGAAATAATGCTTTATTTATCATTTAATATCTACTAATCAATTCATTTTATTCAAATACGATCACTTTCTTCCGCGGTCCCAATAAAGAGGTGTTTCGCGGTTTTTTCTTTAATTTAATATTTTAATATACTGACACTTTAATGTTACCCGTTTGAATTGCTACACCGTCGACAACTTTGCTTGATGCAAAGTAATATAAATGTGTGGCCAACGCTAACTATTTTATTGCATTATTGATGTAGTCGATATTGTATAAATCACAATCAACCAAATTTTCTATATTCAGCTATACATCTTACAAATATGTTTCTGATGAAATAATTTTGAACTGTGGTGCCGTCAATGGATTTCATCGATTTTAAAAGTACAAACAATATAAAATTTATAATTATCAATTAAAAAGCTTTAACAAAAACCAAAAAGAATTATGTAACATATCATAAAGTAATAAATGACTATAAATGGAATGGATTTTAAGAATGTATAAACGACGAAATGAAAACTTAAAGTTAATTATATTAAGTTTAAAAACCAAAAAGAATTATGTAACATATCATAAAGTAATAAATGACTATAAATGGAATGGATTTTAAGAATGTATAAACGACGAAATGAAAACTTAAAGTTCCTAAGTAAAATTATCAAGGACTATGGCAACAGTTTATAACAAAAATAATACTTAAGGCTACGTACAGATAAAACAGAAAGTCGAGATTGTCTATGGCAAAGATGGCGCGTTAATGTTAAACTTATTTCAAACGTTTTAGACTGTTAATACTTAAAAACTAAAATTTGATGGCAGATAACTGCATCATAAAATATGTAAGCAGATATGAGTAGGTTTACATTAAATTCACAAATACAATTAATTATTTAATTAAATATGTGTCAATGTCATGAATAGCAACATTTTTGATTTCAACCTATTTTTACTTGTTATTGCAAATTACTCTGGAATGTTACTCTTGCTAAAGACACAAAAATTGTTAAAATGGTAGATAATGGGCATTGAATTCAAAAGTAATAGTTAATTTATCTATTATTATTATTATCAATTAATATTTGACATAAATATGCACGTAATGGGCAATAGCAAGTAAAACAATTGAATTATAGAGATATACAACTTACGAACTAACTTATTTTAGCCACAAAAGCATTGTAAGCAATCTGAGTTGGACATCACATTTCATTTCTTCGAGGAAAAGTTTTTGAGTATTTATTACGACAGCTGAGCCAATTACAATAATCAAGTGTTTTGTAAAGATATCATAAATGTTATCCGAATATCAAATACAAAAATAAACATTGTTTTTCTTCCATATAACTAACCTTCCTTCTAAGTAAAATAAACTTCAGATAAGAGATGTTTTTTATTTTTACTGATATATCCGGCAATATCTAATAAAAATCCAAATATAAAATCGAATTAACACTAAGCAGTGAGATAAACAGAATACGAACAAAATAGCAATGGAGCATGCATAATAGTTTATGCTTTAAACATATTTTAAACTATATAATAGGTATTAGCTTTACCCCGCGGCTTTGCCCGCGTAGATATTACCTAAATATCACAGTCCATATGTTATTCCAAGACCTAAGGCATCATAAAGATGTCCAAGTAACCGTGATTATTTCCGGGATAAAACTCTCACTATGTAAAAAATAATTTCTATCACCTCGTTGTTGCGTGATAACAAAAGAACAAACCAGCAAAACACTTTTCGCGTTCGTAATATTAGTAGGGATAAGAATGGTAGTATAACAAAAATAGTAAATTTTTCGAACAAAATCCTACAGTGAAAGGTTATATTGCCACATTATTTTATCGTTCTAAAAATGGCCCAACTGTCGTGTGCAACGGAGCGCGTGTATGTAAGCAGGCACTTTGAATTCGCGGCGCGACGCGCACTTAAATGAACACCGGGTTCTCCTGCCCTGTCAGCAGCCGGAACATCGACGTAGGCATCGTCTTCATTAGTATCTGGAAAGGGAGTAGTGCTTAGTGATATTAAGAGAGAGTGGCTTTTCTACTGCTTTCACTGCTGAGCCCGGGTTCTCTCAGCTAACTTTTTTTTTGTAAAGAGGATATACGCTGTTAGTAAATATTCAAATTATATGATAGTATTAACATATTATCATTAAGAACTGCATCTCTGGCTTTATTATTTTTGCTTGTCCTTGCTCGAAGGTTTCTTTTACTTTTTCACCTCACGGTATTTATGTACCATAAACATAAATTTCCGTTTGAAACGTTTCAATATTTTTTTCATTCAGTACCGTGTATTATGACTATATACAATATACAGTCAGTCAGTATATATCATAATATACAGTCACAGTGCCAGTCAGTGTGCCGCAGTCGGGCAGCCGCAACATACAGTCTGTGTACTGTCATAGTATGGTAACAATGTACAGTCACAGTAAATATACTGTCAAAGTGTACAGTCGCAGTGTATTGTTACATTTGCAGACCCATTGTAGTCATAGTAAATAGGCACAGAGTGGTCACACGAGCCGGTCAGTCTGCCTCAGTCGGTCAGCTTATTAATATACAGTTTATTGACAGCCACTGCGTACAGTCATAGTATAGTAGCAATGTACAGTCACGGTACCTGTACAGTCGCAGTATATTATTACATTTACAAGCACAGTGTAATCACAATATACAGTCAGACCGTGACTGCCTCATTGGTCTAGTGGTCGTAAACGCGATTGCTGATCATAAGGTCCCGGGTTCGAATCCCGGTCAGGCCAAAATCAGTTAATTTGTTTTCTGCAGAAAGTTCTCAGCAGCTGGTCGGACTCAGGAAAATTACGGTGTTTCTCACCCCTTGTCCCCGAAAACAAGTAAAACCGAAAATTCTGCGCCTGATCTCTCTCCGGTCGTATCGGATTACCATGCCATCGGATTATGAAAGTGAGGCAAAATGAATACATCTGTGCTTAACTGCACTATAATTCTGACCTGCGCAGATGGCTATCAAGACTGACCGCCATGACCGAAATACTGTCTGGAGGACATTATTTCAATAACATAAACTATTTTAAAATCTCGTTAAAGATATATACAAAAATATCTAAAAAAATTACGTGAACTGCCACATCTAAAAAAATTACGTGAACTGCCACATTGAAGATAGTGACAGTACCAGTGCACAGTTATTGTGAATAGTCACGGTGACAGTTGCAGTGTAAATTTACAGTATATACAAACACAATATGGTGAAAGTGTACAGTCACAGTGCATAGTAATAGTGCACAGTCGCAGTGTACAGTTGTAGTTTACTGTCAAAATGAACAGCCACAGTGTACAGTCGCAGTGCACAGTGACAGCAGTAGTGCTCACCTCGCCTACGGACGTTGCGAGCAAGTTCACGATGCGCTCGTGCGGCACGGCCACCACGCTCTGCGAGTTGATCTCTATGATGCGATGTCCGACGCGGACGCCACCGCGCTCCGCGATGCCGCCACGAAGCAAACTACAAATCTAGTAGGGAACAAACAGATTGTGATACGGTGAGATGTACACCGAAACATATGATGCAAAAATATATTCATTCATCATTCATTCATCTGCTATAATCTCATCCGTAAATTACTAAGTAAAAAAATTGCAGCTACTGAATTTCGTTAGTTATTATTTCCGATGGTTTTTCGTACTCATTGCTAGTGACTCATGGAAAACTGAAAAAAAAAACTATGATTAATTGAAAGTCGGCGCATCCGCTATCTCTTATGATCGTGTAACTTTTGAACGACTGATCATATTTGTTTTGTCGAGACGTTGGTTCAGAGGATACTGTAGATATCCGATATCTAATGGCATGGGTATGTGATGTAAATCCGAAGTCAATCCGGAGTAAAACTCATAGAGCTACCTACCAGAAAGGTCAGGAAGTCTCCTGTGCCAGCTAGTTCAAAAATCTAATTCAAATTATGGATATAATATGGGACTACTTTAGTGTCTCAGTTTTAGTTCATACTTGTTTTAGAACTAAATGGAAACAAAGTTTTGGTTATGTTTCGCACGGTGATTAATAAGAACTGGACACCGTATTTTCCGTATTTTACTGATAACGCGGCACAATTTTAGCTTGCAGTGTTGTCCACGTATCTGCATTTTAATTTTTAAACGAGAATAGATGGTGCCTGTATGTCAGCAAATTCGCTAACGTCAGATGTACAGTGTGCTCGTTTGTGACCTTTATATAAAATAAGTTCGTATAAGAGACTGAATTTTTATATCCGTCGAGAAAAAGACTAGGTATGAAAATAAGAATGAACGAATTGCACTACAAAAATAAACAAAACACATTGAGTTCTTTATTACTAGACGTTATTCATTAATTTAGTTAATTATACGTGAGGGGTGAGTAAAAACCCCGATAAGAATGTGAAATGGATGTATTCTTCCACATATAAAGCTAGTGTACAGTCACACAGGGGGGATAAGTCGCTCGCGTCCGTAGGCTTTGACCACCTCTTCCTAGGCCCACCCTACACGTGTCCCCCGGGTGGTGCTAAATGAGCGACAAGCCGATAGCACAGACTCGGCTCCACGCCGTGGTAGCGGCGTAAAATACTCTACCCATATTCGCACCATGAGGAACCATATAAACGAAATGGCCCCGAGTTCCCGGCGCCCCTTTAATGGGGCAGGGGTGCGAAGAATCTCCGGAAGGAAAACCGGCGACGAGGTTCGCCACCCGTCACGTTCTGTCTCCCGGAGAGGCGAAAAGTGGACAGCAGAGGCCCGTCTGGCTACGTTGAATGTATGTGGGGCAATGAATGATAAAATGGATGAAGTATGCGATATGATGTATGATAGAGGAATAGATGTGTTATGTGTAAATGAGACGAAAAGGAAGGGGAAGGATGTCACTACACATGGCATGTATACCGCATACTAGTCTGGTGTAGACGAGATCGAGCGGGCATGCCAGGGAGTAGGTATCATCCTTTCAGAAAGAATGGGCCAATGTGTGAAAGAGTATGAATATGTAAGCCCAAGACTGCTATGGATACGAATGAAAGTGGGCTTTAAGAAGTTGTTTGTGTTAGGGGTCTACGCCCCAGACATGTCTAAGCCCACTTATATCCGAGAGCAGTTTTGGGAAATGGTAAGGATGGTGTTAATGAAGTGTAAGGGAAATGAAAATATTATTATGCTAGGAGATTTTAATGGAAGGGTTGGGGTGAGGAGGCTTGGTTATGAAAGGATATTGGGAACGTTTGGTGATGAAAGTATAAATGAGAATGGTGAAAGTCTCCTCACTGTATGTATGGAAAAGAATCTTTTTGTGACGAACACTTGCTTTCGCCACAAGAAGATTCACATGTATACTTGGGAAAGAGGTGACGATAGAAGCATGATAGATTTCATAATTGTGGATGAAAGATTGAGGGGCGCAGTGGTAGATACAAGGGTTTACCGGGGTTCTAACGTAGGAACGGATCATTATTTGGTTTTATACCGAATTAATGGTCTATTCAGGCGTTGGCGCCATCGGTCATCTGTGTCTACCACTGCGTTACAGCGTATTAGAACAGAAAGATTACAAGATGAAGGTGAGAAAAACAAGTTCAAATGTAGACTGAAAGAAAATATAAGTGGTTTGGATGAATTATGTATCTAGGAGTTAGACTTGGAGAATGTATGGCAAAAATGTAAAGAAAGGTTTAGTGGATGCAGCTACCGAAGTATGTGGTGTTAGTAAGAGGAAGTATAAAAGGAAAAATAATACGTTATGGTGGGATGATGAGATACGTATGGTAGTTGAAGCAAAGAAGAGAGCATGGCTAGATTTACTAGCAACAAAGGCTGGTAATTCTAGCGGTACGAATGATGATATTGAAAGAAAAAAGGCGGTCTTTAGACATCTTAATAAGAGAGTAAAAGAAGTAGTTGAAAGAAAAAAGCAAGAAAGAACGGATAAGAATGATAGAAGAATATCGTATAATTTCCAGGCAAATATTAAAATGTTCTGGAAACTTGTAAGAACTACCAGGGGACATTCAAAACAGCCTATGATGAATGCTATAAGAGACGAGAATGGCTATATTCTGAATGATGAAGTTTTGAGTTTAAAGAGATGGAAGGAATATTTTGAAAGCGTGTTTATGAGTGAGGAGACAACGAGTGTACTAAGTGAAGTAGAAACTCCGAAAGAAGAGGAAAGAGGTAGCGAGATAAGTATAGATGAAATAATGAAAGCAATGAAAAGCATGAAAGCAGGTAAGGCTGCCGGATATGATAGTTTCACTCGAAATGCTAAGGGCTGGAGAGGAAGTGGTGGCAGGCCTGCTGCACACCTTGTTTAATTTATGCTGGGAACTGAAGCGGGTACCGGTAGACTGGTGCAAAGCCGTGATAGTCCCACTATATAAAGGAAAAGGGTCGCAGCAGGACTGTAAAAACTACCGTGGCATCAGCCTTCTTAGCATTGTGGGAAAACTGTATGCTAAAGTACTGATTGAAAGGGTCATGAAAGAAACTGATGGAAAAATTTGGGATGTGCAAGCGGGATTTAGAAAGGGAATGGGATGTACAGATCAAGTCTTTTCCATGCGCATGATCGCGGAAAAGTTTTTGGCCAAAAACCAAAAGGTTTTTTGTGCGTTCATGGACTTGGAAAAGGCGTATGACAGAGTTGATAGGGATGTGCTATGGCAAACACTGAAATCATTTGCGTTAAGCGCAGGCTTGATACAGGCATTGGAGTCTCTTTATAGGGACTCTAGTGCTTGTGTTAGGATCAACGGGGTCTACTCGGACTGGTTTGACATTCATAAAGATGTCAGACAGGGCTGTGTGGCTTCCCCGTGGCTGTTCAACCTATTTATGGACAGTTGTTTGCAAAATTTGAAAGTTGAAGAATGCGGACTAAGAATGGATGAGTTAACCGTCAAATGCCTTTTGTACGCCGATGATCAAGTTATCCTTGCGTCGTCGGCGGCCGAGTTGCAAATGATGGTCACATTAATGAACAGATCATTAAAAGAAAGGGGTATGAAAGTGAACGCAAGTAAGACGAGGGTTATGGTTTTTGAAAGAGAAGAAAGTAAAATGATTTGTGAAATAAGAATAGAAGGGGAGTTGATCGAGCAAGTAGACGAGTTTGTATATTTGGGCTGCGTATTTAGCAGGGATGGGAGATATGATAAGGATATAGAACGACGAGTGAATGCGGGAAATAGAGTAAATGAGGCCCTACACTATATTGTGAAGAGTCAAAATGTGTCGAAAAAGGCACGTATGGCAATTCACAATGCTGTGTTGGCCCCTACTTTAACGTACGGTAGTGAAAGTTGGGTGTGGCAGAAGAAGCACAGGGTAAGAAATTGTGTAATAAGAGAAGAGTGTGGTTTGCAAGATGATGTTGTGACCAGGATTAAGAAAGGAATGCTTCGGTGGTTTGGTCATGTGGAAAGAATGGATGAGGAAAGACTGACAAAGAAAATTTATGTTGCAGAAGTGAATGGCAGAGTCGGAAAGGGAAGTCCTAGGCGAAAATTTATCGACCAAATTGGCGATTTATTAAAAACGGGCCAAATTAGGAGTACCCTTAACCGACGAACATGTATGCGTAGGTGTATGGATGTGTAGGAGGCGAGAGAGGTGTGTCAGGATCGTGCCAAATGGAAGTCTGTAGTCTCTGCCTACCCCTCTGGGTGACAGGCGTGAGTGTTTATATATATATATATATATATATATATATATATATATATATATATATATATATATATATATATATATATATATATATATATGTACAGTCACATTGTTCAAAATCGCTCAGCTTGTCATAGGTCAATTGCTCGTAGTTGCTTTCCGGAATGGAGTACAATATCGCGTTTCTGAAATAACTAGTTTTATTATTATAGGAATATGAAACATTTTTGATCAATCCGGTTATTTCAAACATTCCGTTTAACAATATGCTAAAAGAAGAAAAGGCTTTATAAACGTTGCAGGTTGCGTCTTGTTTGCATGAATAAGTTTGAGCATTATCTATTTTTATGCTGTCATTTTATTAACTCGATAGGGGAGGGGGTGACATTAACCCCTATTATTCAGATATTAAGACTGATTTCACATTGATCGTTATACTGGAATGTCAAAATTCGGAAACATTTCCGTGCAACGTGTTCTAACACGCAACTGGCTGTCATAACAATAATTATGGTTATCAATTTACTGGCGGTAGGCAGAGCGTGAAACTTTGTTCGTTCAAAACTTCACTGTCACTTCGTGTGCGACACTGACTGATTAAACGATAAATTCAAAATCCATCGTTAGATCAGGCTGTTTTTCGCTTTTAACGAACTGAACGGTCGAGTACGATATCTCGGATGGACCTTACACCAGTAAGTGTTTGTAAACAGTTCACTACTTGCTTTTTACAAACGGATGAAGAAGGCAAGAGAATCGGTAGAAAATTCGAATATGAGAACTAAAAAAAATATTTAGATCTTGTATTGTTAAAAATAAAACCAAAAAATAATTTAAATCACTCACCACCCCGTTTTGAACGCTGAAGCCGAGCTGGTACTTAGTGTCCGGTCGTTTTATCTTGACCTCAACGACGGGAGCGCACGGCACTACCGTGAGTTTCACCACTGTCTGGTTCTTCGAATTCTTTATGTACGTTTGACACGTTGATAGCGGCAGCCCTACTAGACTAACACCGTTTATTGCGATTATTTGATCACCTGAAACAGAAATTAGATTAAATTAAACTTTTTGTATTTTTACAAACGTTTACAAGTTGTTCAGCTCGTTCTGTACATACCAGAGTAGTTCGGAAATTAATATAGGCAGTTCGCTAGTGGCGGTTTACTTTTATAATAAGAGCCTAACATCCCACGCCTGGGCATGTACATTTCATTTCTGACAAGTTTATGGAACAGCACTGCAGTAATACTCCAAGACGTGTATGGACTTCACATGACCTCGAAATATTTTATTTCTCGCAATGTCAACGGATTTTTTTTAATATATAGTTTTAATTATTGATGGTTATATTCGTGTGACCGTTCAGCCTGTCTCATCATGCTTCAATAATTTAGAGTTTAAATTAAATTAATACACCACGTTATCATATAAAATGTAATGAAATGAAATTAAATATGGTCACGACTTAATTTAGTCTGTAAAACGTCTTCTTTTTTTCTTCAATTTCTTTCGAAATTCGAAATTCGATTTCGAAATACAGTTCCACTGACCGGAGAAGAAATGGCAAAAGAAACTGCAACTGAAGATCATTTTCGACAAAAATATCTCGAGACGCTTGAGACTTTGATGCTCGAGGATTGAAAGTTCTTGATAAAGTACATTATCGGAAAAATATGCGCATACATGAAATACTAAATTAAATTTTTAATCGAATGCATTTTATTATTATATATTAAAGGAGATAAAAAAACTGATGTTCAAGATCTCGATAAACATATAATATTTTTCGATGGTAATCTGGTTAAAACCAATGTTACCAGTTTCAAACACAGGTATAAAGTAGCCAGGGTTTTGGTATTTTGCAGCTACACACATACATTACACACACACACACAGACACACACAGTTTTTTCTGTTATTTCCTCCCTCTACCTTCTACCATCGGGAAACCAGACCCCATTCGTTGTAGACTTACCACGCATTTGAACCAAACGGTTTGCGGTTCATCATGTATACATCAGAGGAATGGAATAAGTTGCCAGCATCTGTATTTCCATCCGATTATAGTACGGGTGTCTTCTGGGTATGAGTGAATAGCATTTTGCTAAGTTAGTGCGCTTCGCCATCTTCGTCTATATTACCACTTACCATCAGATGGAATAGTTAAAACGCTGGCAAACGATGGATTAGAATAGTAAAAACTACGAAAAATAATAGTAGAATGGCATGATATCCTTAATCGGTTATATATTTATTTCCTAATAATAAGCAAAAACGTTTCAAATGAAGTAATACTATGTCCAGTGAACGTGAAAATTACATTGTGCTAAACAAATATGCATGCAGCGAACAAGACAGCGCTAAAAGCCTTTTAACGTGGGAAATCCTCGCTCAAACTAGAATTCTGTTACTTTAAAAAACATCGGAATTTGAACCCTAACAAGAGTGGTGGCAACGGAAATTCTCCCTACTACTACTACTACTATTTTTGAATACATATAGTATGCTGAGGGAAATATTCACCAATATTAAGCTGTCCACATCTGGCGGCCGCCCCGGCTGGCGCTAGGTTGGCGATCACCACAGTGGGCAACATAGAACCCCACCCGGATTCTACCACAACTACCCCTAGTATCTCGCCCTTCGTCTTCGGCACCACAACTTCCTTTTGCAGTTCCTTCTTAGCGAACATTTGAAGTTCGTCGCCGAAGATCTCCTGGCTGTTCAGGACCTCCTGATAGTCCATCTCCTTCACGAAGCTGTGGTCTTCTATGCCGTTGGCTTTAAGGAACTCCATGTACGCTACTTGGAATGCTTGACCAATCGATTGGGCTATAAACTGGGCCTGAAATTTAAAAATAGAATATCAGTTTATTTGTTTTTTATTTTTCGTAATTATTAAGTGAAATGACAGCATTAGGTTGTGGCCTTTTCAACCTATTATATTTTTCAAGGTCATGCGACTTATTCATTACAGATTATCAAAAGTACACTGCTGAACATAGGCCTCCTCCATCGATTGCCTCATATTTGCTATATTTGCCACGCTTGGAAGGCGGATTTTTTTATAATTTTATGGCGTTATCAGGAAGATGTTGCTGCCTATCACTTGTATCACTTCCTTCTGTCGCCTCTTACGAGACTCATGGGATGATATGGAGCAGTAGATTCTCTTATGCCACTACTGCACTACATGCATCTAGCCTATACCGACTATATTTAATCGATTTTTTATCCTATATAGAATTGTGGATGCAAGGGAACAACCTAGCTATACCGACTATATTTAATCGATTTTTTATCCTATATAGAATTGTGGATGCAAGGGAACCAACATAACATCACTATTTGTGGCTTTTAGACATCTACATTTAACCTCGATTAAGAATCAAAATGCAGATGCGTTGTCACCCCCGTGGACTATGATGGAATGCCTCAATTTCAGTAGAACGGGTCTCCGGTTCTCTACCCTCACCACTCGAAACACAGCAGCATCAAGCTTCTATATTACGCTGGTATTCTGTGAGAGCGTGGTCCTACCCCGGTTGAGCCGACCTTTTCGTGCTACAACCATAATATAGCTGCAGCGTGGCTCTACCATATATACCGGCCAGCCACTAGTAATTATGCATAAGAAAATTACATACATTATTTATTTTTACAATTTTTATTTATGATTTCAAAATTGTTTGGAAATAAATTGCTTCCCGCTGGATGATCCCAACGTTGTTGCTGATTCTGTTGCTGATGTGGTACTTCAGGGTAAGGATCTTTTTATTCCTTCCTCTGTGGTGCCCATCGGAAGCAAATTTCAGCCATAGTTTGGTTGCCCCTGTAAAATAGCATCATGCTATAAGCAGGAGTGCTACCAAGCCCGGGCTGTCGCATCAACGTTCCGGGATTTAAACACCAGCGCTCTAAAAAAGAAGTATGATTCCGCCTCCAGGTCCTTCAAAAGAGTCATTGCCAAGGCAAAGTCGGAGCATATATGCAGAATTGGCGAGAAACTAGTTCGCCTTCCTTCTGGAACCCGTGCATTCTGGTCTCTCGCCAAGGCCGTCCAGGGGAATTTCTGTCAGCCATCTCTTTCATCTCTGCACAGCGAGGACTACACTACACGGAATTAAGATAAAAGGAAACTTTTAAGAAGCATATCGTTGGTAGCTTAATAAACTTGAATAAATACCTAATTATTATTTAATCTATCCTTACCTCTTCACTCTCGAAAACGTGACATATCATCTTGGGAGTACGGTTCAGTTTCGGTTGATCAGAGTCGTTCTCGTGTGGGACGAATCTTCTCCTAGCCATGAGTACGACCAAGTCACCGATATCAGCTATGTAAGAGATGGTTCTTAAAGCATGATCCATCATTATCTCTTTCAGTTCCGTGTTCAGCACCATGATCTTCTCCGTCGATATAAACAGGTCTACTTCCGTGCTCGGTTGGTTTTCGCCTTCTGGAGCCTGTAAATAAAAGATAATTATTAATTATTTTTAAAATTTTATAATCGACATTTCTTCAATTTTTATATAAGTTAATCATGATAAAAAAATATTTGCTAGATCACGGGACTAAAAATTTCTGCCAAGAATATCTCTATCCCTGTCTGAATTACCTACTACTAGCAAAAGAGTAGTAGAGACCCCTTCGAAATTCAAAATGTTTGAAGTTATTTGTGATTGTATTTACACAGCACCAAGATTCACAACGCATGTGTGCGTGCTGAGATGGACGTCAAACAATAGTAAAACCAAGGATTTGTTGCCCGACTAGCGGCATCATTAAATAGGTCATTATTATTAGTGTGGCGCTGCACCGACATTACTACCCGTGCAGTTAAAGAACGGCATGAATGCGTTGCCTCTATTACACCTCACATCATCCCTGTCTGAATTACCTACTACTAGCAAAAGAGTAGTAGAGATACGATAACAGCCCGCCCCTTCGAAATTCAAAATGTTTGAAGGTATTTGTGATTGTATTTACACAGCACCAAGATTCACAACGCATGTGTGCGTGCTGAGATGGACATCAAACAATAGTAAAACCAAGGATTTGTTGCCCGACTAGCGGCATCATTAAATAGGTCATTATTATTAGTATGGCGCTGCACCGACATTACTACCCGTGCAGTTAAAGAACGGCATGAATGCGTTGCCTCTATTACACTTCACATTCGCTCGCTGGTAGTAAAGACAACAAAAAAAAATACGTTGCGATGTGCGTTTTTCGTACGTCTTACATCAAGACTTGTCATTGGTACCAATGATAACAAAACGTTAAACTAGAAAATGTCCGTTTTCGCTAATTTGCGCTTCTGAGATTTTATTCATTATTATTGTGTATATCATACATGAGTAACTATTTTTTAAATTTTCGTTTGTCTGTCTGTCCATCCGAGCTAATCTTTGGAATCACTGAACCCATTGTAATAAAACTTCACGAACAAATAGAGAGTAACAGAAGTGATCCAGACTTAATTTTATTCGAAAATTTTTGAGATTTTATTAAAATAGAAATATTGATAAGGTGAAATAAATAGTCTAATAATTATCTTAAGCGTTAAAAAAAACTTCTTTTAAAATAATGCCACATTAATAAATTCCATCCAGGTGAAGCCAGGGCGGTTCGCTAGTTATAAATGTTAATTTAAAATTAATGTACGTGCGTATACAAATATTTTCCCATTAATAGAAAATTTTCAATTAACCGAATAATATAACGTTCTATATCGTTGCTAGCGGGTTTTCACTATTGGTACTGTGTATGTTGACGGTACAGGCTCGAATTTTCGCCATTTCTAGCCCCATTCTTTATCCTTACGGACTGTACTCTATAAAAATGACACGTGCTTTGTTTTCCGCGGTCGGCTAAGTTATGAATAATTTATCAACAAATCTGGTGATAAATGAGACTTACAACTACATACAAACTCTTTCGTAAGCATGTGACTGCACACATTGAAACAGTAATTTGGAGGAGCGAGTCATGTTATCGTAGTTAATCTCTACCTAGTGCCCTTTTACCTATTTCTGTCGCCGTAGCAAATAGCAGTGCTTGTGCTACTGTGTTAAGGTCTGAACGGCATAGAGCCCTATTATAATTACAGGCTACGAAGCATTCTATCTTAGTTCTCATTTTCTTTTATGCCCTTTTTGTTCGTTCTTCTTTGTTTGAAACAGAAGTGTCCTGGGCTGCAGTACCCATTTACCAGAGGTGGACTCTTAGTTCGTTTGTCACTAGTTTTGTAGAAAAAAAATTATAATTTTTAAAGAAATAAAACTGGAATAAAACTTACCAAAGCCTGTGTCGGGATCCAACGAAAGCGAAGAAAAATGATATTCAAATGTTAGTCTTGTTCGGTGAAATTAAACAAAATAAACCAAACTTTTATTCTTCAGTAGGATGTAATAGATAAAGTAACAGAGTCGGAGAAAGCCAGTGAGATTTTTTAATGTTTAAAATGATTAGTTGATGAGCCAATTGTGGGTTCAGAAAATGCTGCCAATTTATATACGCATTGATTTTTAAATATTTTAATTTTAAGCAAAAACATTCATAAATATAGTTCTTAAATTTGTGGGAAATAAATTAAAAATCCGATTATTCGACAACCCAAGGTTCCGGGAACTTAGTTCTTCAACATTCTTATACCGTAAACAACCAGGGTTAATTTTGTAGCTTTAAAATTAGTCAGACATATTGTAAAAACATGAATTTTAGTTTATGAATGTTTATTTGGTAATTTTTACATTGTATTAATTTCCTATATTATCTAACATCATTAGTTATAATATGGCTAGTGGTCTGATATATTAATTAGTATTTTGCTCTATAAACTATACACTACGTATCCATCTGTATACAACAGCGCTTCTTTATAGCTGTATCTGGTTTTAGATATTGTATATTTTGATTTTCAATTCATGATTTTTTTTTACCGCTTGATGTTAGACGGCGATGCAGTTTTTCCGTATGATGTTAAAAGTAGATATCAATTTTATAAAATCAAAAACCCTTAACTAGCGGATATTCATCAATCATCACCAACCTTAAATCTAAAGATGTTCCTCATTGGTTTGTATAAATTTTATTAAATTACACATAAGCTAAAACTAATCAATTCTGAAACTTAAGGTGGGGGTTGAATATATTATTAAGCTAAGGACAGTTTCATTAATTAAAATGTTTTTGGTTCTACCTAAGAATTCCGTAGATTTGTCTTTAAAATTGACATTAAACGTTGAAATGATTACATACTTGTGCTTTTTAAAGAAAAATGTGCAATCACAACGCAACCTTGATTTTTGTGACGGCCTCCTCCACCATGTTCTTTTTGGGCCTCTTCTTCCTTCGCCGCGAGTCCTCGTCCACCTCGACCGAGCCGAGGAACGTGAGGCGGAACACGGCAGCCGGGGCCGCGTACACGCCCGAGTATGGTCCCTCGCAGCCCCACTGTTGGGACAACACCGGCTAACCTCCTCGACTTTCCGACTCGCCACCGCTTCTCACACACGCGCTCTTTTTGTTTAGCTTGCTTGTTTTTTGTCGTACATTTCGTCGCACGTTACGCACATCAAATAAAGTTTTAATATAACTAATTTTACAGATTTACAGTTTTAATATAACTAACTTTACAGATTTTATCGCGGCAATTTTAATTTTTTTAATCGATAATAACATATCCATATTTTATTACATTAAATTTAATGAATTAAGTTTAATTTATAAATGACTAAGTGCCTAGTTATTCTTTTTTTAGTTGATGCTGTATACATTTATATATTTGAGTGTATATTCTGTAAAGAAAATATAACGCAACAAATTACATTGCTGAGATTTTGAAAATCAATTTAAATTTTTTAATTTCCAGTGAGATGTTATTCCAATAGGTCCGGTATTAGACATAGTTATTATTTATTACATTTCAAGTTCGCTAAAGTCGGATGCCATAGTTCTTCGTGATTAATTCTTGCCTCGAATATCTTGAGAACAAATAATAATATCAGGCTGGTTTCAATCGATGTACAATTTTGTAATCAGAACCTGATTAAGTTTTTATTCAAATCGTTCCACCAGGTTTTGTTGTGAATAAATAAACAGAAGAAATCGTAAACTAAAACAATTTTGCAATGGATAATATGTACCCCATGCAAGTCCTTAATGTGGTGAAACCTATTTTTACAGCTAAAAATTTAAAAATACTCCCATTTTCCTATTTGATACTCCAGTGTGGATTCAAGGACTAAGTGCCTTAAGGGAGTTAATCATTAAAAACATTGAATAAAATATTTTTAGATTTCTAAATTTTATTGTTTCAAGTAAAACACTTTTTCATATACGAAAAAGAATTGGACGATTTAGAAACGTCGGACGATATCAACATTTAACCCGTTCGTGCGATGGGCCATAAACCGCGTTGATTAGGTAATCTAGAATTATATAAACATTGTGGCAACAATTTGAAAGCAAAGCTCAAATAACCATACGTCAAACAGCATTAGCACAATAAAATTTTACTCCACGAGAGCATATTTTAAATTAATTGCAATGTTAATCCCTAGCGTAGCAAAGCTTAGATTCATGGCGACACTTATAACCTATAATATGACCCAAAACTTAAAAGCCTCTTTGAAGTAACTTTAACTATAAATTTATAATTAAATTATTCTTTATAATTCACAGTGATATGAATTAAAGTTAGAATTCCTTAGTTATATTTTAAAACATAGAAAAAAAAACGTTCCCGTTGATATTGCGGCGCAAAAGCAAGCAAAACAAATCCGAATATATCGCACAAATCGATAATGGTATGTGAGAAGCGGGCGAATTTCATCCATATCATGAAAGCTGACCTAACAGAAAATCAACCATAAAATTATAACAGTAAGGTCTTTTTTTGTGCGCAGGCGCAAAGCTGGGCCCATGTCGGTGCAGACCTGCGTTGTGTAAGGCCACCTTAGCCGGTGTGAATCGGGTCGTCTCATGCTGTATCGTGCGTTAATGGATAAAGTGTGCGATGAACATCGGGAGCGACGAAGCGATTAATGCTACATTAGACGTTTATTTGTTCATTCGAAAACAGATGAATATATATGTTCTGAACGCACCACTTTTGTTTTACGATGAACTGACTAGCAAATAGTTTTGCAATTTCTTTGTCAAATTGTCTACGTCACAAATATTATTATTATTATTATAAATATATTAAAATAAAAAAGAAGCTTGACTAAGGCATACTATAAAATAATTCCATTACTGATTTACTTTTTTTATTTATTATTACACAATTTCTTATCAGTGCAAATGCGTGGCTGTAGCTTTAGCAGCCTTGTAGCTTAGCCTGCTGTAAGCATGCGTAACATACAAAAATTGATGAAATCATCCAACAGTGACTATATATATAATACTTTACCTGATATCGTATGAAATTACAAACAAACAGAGTACAAAGCGTGGCACAAAGCGGAACAAGCGACAAACAAACATATCCAGAGGAGGCTAGCCGGCCAATAAGGGATCCGATAATCTTCTCGGGTCAGGTCGAGGGGTGAGGAGGACACTGAAAAAAATACTCTAGTGCGATGTCAATACGAGCGTAAACGGTCTGGCGGGCGGTCACGCACTTCACTCGACTGATACAAATATCTGAGCATTCACTAGGATTTCTTTCCTAATTTGTTTACTAAAAGTTGTATTGTAATTGACACATTTTAGGATATAGGATAAAAAGGATATATCCCACTAGCATTCTCAAAACACTAATTATAGTGAGCATGAAATTACTTACACATGAACGTGTTTCACGTACCATAACGTAAACTTTAAACCTTTAAACAGAAGGTTATTGTATTTTAAGCAGTCATGACAAGGCAATAAAATTAAAAATTGCTTGCACATTTTATTCTTGCATAACAAATTTATTTGCCAATAGAGTTTTATATCGAGTTATGATAGACAGTGAAATTATATAGGCACGATATAGAAAATAATATTCTTGTTTGTGGATTTAAGATGGCTGTTATGGAATGTACAGTTCCAAATCAAAGTTACACAGATTAGTAATTTTCGATCAAAAATTTCGTTTCGTTGTAATTATGCAAATTGTTTAAGACACTAAATCACATTAGAACTATTTAGAAAAATAGTTCTAATGTGCTGTATTTTTTAAAATTGTATATTTATCAAATTACGAAATGTACAATTTACGCGTAGCAAAAATACTGCCATCTCGCTCATCACATATTCTCACGTCATGTGACAGATAGAGATAACTGAAATATTATGTTGTTTAATGTTATTCAAAAACACAAAGCGACCAAGCGACCTAGGTGAGACACATCTTTCCAGCAGTGTTTTAAATTTAAGGCAAGTTTTATAATTACATGTTTGTGGTCGATTGTCTTGTCTAAGACTTGATGCTTTGACCCAGTACAACATATATTTACAGCCATTAGTGCAACACACATTAGGAGGTAATTTCATGCTCGTAATAAAAACAACTACGAAATATAATATTATGAATATTTTTACAAAATACCGATTCACACTGGCAAATGGTAATTTGCCTCGGATTGTATGAGAATGCGTGTCCAGTCATATAACAACCCGGTAAATGTATAAAAGGATTAAAAAGAAAAAATTATTAAATTGTAATTGTTTTTAGTATATTTAAAAATAACACTTTACTCTGAAATATCTTTTTGTATGAATGCCATAAAAACTTTTTACGGCTTTCCATGTTATGCCATAAGAAGTAGATTTAACTAAAAACGACGAGTTGCACTCCGGGAGTGCCGGCAGAAGAGAAAACTTGAATATTAACGTTGTGCATTTTTGATATTTTGGAATGGTTAGGGAATAATTTTGCACGAATTGCTTTAATTATCAGTATAAAAGTACTATCATTTATGTGGTAGAATACAATATTTATTTATTGCGCTATCGTACACAAACACGACTATTTATAATGATTTCTTATATAAATCCGTAAAAGTATTTTTAATCAACGACAATTAAAAAGTTTTTCTTTCAGAAGCAGGCGCAGTCATACATTTTCGCCGCGCCGTAGAAAGAGAGGGGGATACTTCCTTTCCTACGCCGCGCCGGCTGTCTCTCTTTCTCCATCCGTCTTACACATTTTCGATCAGGGTCACGTGTCCTAACACGAGTTTAATATTTTTTACCCATTACAAAAAAGTGTACAACGCCGCTAAATAAGTTTTCACTTCAAAAATTTAATAAATAAATATTAAGAAACTGAACGATAAATTTAAAATAAACTTTATTCTCCAATAATAAGGTTGTATATTCAGCTAAAATGTTTTAGTCTAATTTATTCGTTATACTCGATTCGATGATGTTTAGTCGTGTTAAGTATGCAGTTATAAAGACAAAAAATGTTAAGACAAATGGAAAAAAGTTAGCAAGTGTTAGTAAGATTTTAGTCTAACGCGTTTGGCCACAAATTTGAAGGAAAAGGTTGCTCCACATTCATGAAAACATTTTCATAAAGAAGTAATATTGTCTTTTTTTGGCACCGTCACCAGCTAACTAGCTAAATTCTTGTCCAGATTAATTTATTGTAGCTCTCGCTTGAACTTACAGAACTCGCACTTACTATGTGAGTGTTGTAAAGAAAAGGTACATCTCTACGAGCACTCTATTGACGGTACTGTGTATAAATTAAAATTAAAGTTGCGATATAAAAGAAACGATACTGAATTTCAAGGTGCCGATAAGTCTCGTGCTGTTTTTATCACTTTAAGTCAAGTAGTTTAAAGCATAGTAGCTTTAGAACATTTTTATAATGGGTAAGTATTAGAGATTACAAACTAAAGGCATGTCTATCTGAAATATATATGCTATTAAATAAAAGTTATTTTTAATAATTGCACAAGAAGAAACTCCTTTAATTTTCTTAATTAGATTGTAAACATTTATTTTATTTTAAAACTAATTTAATTTTTTTTGAATATTGACAATATTCCTGCTTTTTATTTGCAACAGAGTTTCAGCTCCATCAAATCCATGACCTTAAAACTTTTACTTAAACCACAAACGTCTTAATAAAAAAGGGAATATTCACACCTTAATTCTTGACACGGCTTCTTCGGCTTGAAGCATTCTGGTCGCTTTTGTGGGTTGTCCTTCACACGCGAGCTGGGTGGAGCCGAGATATCGCGCACGAAACAGCACGCCCTCTATGAGCACTGAGGGATCTGGAATTTAAGAAATTTGACAACGTGAAGTTTGTGAGTAGGAAATTTGACAACGTGAAGTTTGTGAGTAGGAAATTTGACAACGTGAAGTTTGTGAATTGGAAATTTGACAACGTGAAGTTTGTGAGTAGGAAATTTGACAACGTGAAGTTTGTGAGTAGGAAATTTGACAACGTGAAGTTTGTGAGTAGGAAATTTGACAACGTGAAGTTTGTGAGTAGGAAATTTGACAACGTGAAGTTTCTGATCGGTTGAATAGCGATATTTAAATGCTATAATATCCCATCAAGGAGATACTTTAAAGAGGTAGTAAAGAAATGAATATACACCAAACCCATAGATTTCAAAATACATTATCTTTTATTCCAAATTCACTTTATCCACAACATCATCATCATCATCATTACAGATCTTCAAAAGTCCACAGCAGAATATAGGCCTCCACTCAGTAATGCCACAAAGCACGGTCCTGAGCCACCTGCATCCATGAACTTTCTGAATTATGAAATCGTGGTCATGATGAAAAGGTGGAAAATCTACACTTACACGTCTATTATTAAATATGATATTACGAGTTACGAAACATAATTATAAGAACACTATTCTTCTGGCCCGGGATTTTTGACGATGATAGTTTCTTTTTAAATATTAGAATGTAATATTATTCTAACAATAATTTTAAGTGATAACGTTATGTCAGCAACATTTGTTATCTAAAACTCTTTACGTGTTTTTTCAGTAAATTCCTTACAAAAATAACTAGTAGTATTTTAGTGTGTACATTTAAATTTTCATTATTTTCATTCTTCTACTTCGCCAACCGCGTCTTCAAAAAGATAAAAAACATTCCAGTTAAAAATCCAAACCTGCTTCGTCAGAACCGGCATTTATTAAATAATATACTTACATAATACAAGAGTTCACCCTTATGCACAAGTAAATATCTATAGCTAGGGGAAGAGCGCCCTACCTTTGCCGAAATCACAAATTGGTAACGAGAAACAGCATTAGTTTTGTGCTAGAACATTGACTGTGTTCACTAACCGGTTGGAACTGTGTGTTGACTATTTCAAGCTATAGCTACAGGTTTATTTTGCAATAACCGGCCAAATTTGCGGAGAATAGTCAGAATAAGTAATATAGGCAAATATTGAAGAAATAAAAAAATACTGAATTCAATATGCGTGGTAATGCATTATTATAACTGATTTTATTGCGCACGCACACATACGTAGGGGTCGGTCGGTAGGCAAAAACATTGTGGACTATAAATCACATTCAATTTGGATAATTGGATTCAATTTGGGATAATTTCAAATAAAAGTAGAAGCCTTACTTATTCGTATTTTCAAAAACTACAATAACGGTATATCATTATTATATATATGAAAAATAACCATGTATAATCGCCTATATATAGTCGACTATGGTTGATGATGGTGCCATTCAAGGGAAAATTACCATACCGGTAAGCGAAAAGTAGGGCGACTCCCCACTAGATGGAGTGATGACCTGGTAAGACACGCAGGAAATCTATGGATGCAGATAGATGCGTGTTTTGTAGCATTCCTAGGGGGAGGTCTATATGCAGCAGTATACAAAGGAAAAATATACTACGCTCATTCAGAAACTAATGTATATACTCATAGTACTCACTAATGAAAGCTTTAGTAACGCAGTAACTTTATACCGCCACTACGCGCCACTAAGCAATATCCATATCATCCCGTGGGTGTCGTAAAAGGCGACAGAGGGAAACTAGCCAGGAAATGGACAGCACTGTCGTCCTAATCCAACTAGATAAAAGACTTCGGTTGCATACTCGCCTGTCAATGAAAGCCCTAGTGACACGGGAAGATAGTTACAACTTACTAATATGAGCAATAAGAACAAGCGATTACTTCAGGCCAGTGAGAATAACGTAACGTAAGCGTAATGTAACTTAAGCAGAGCTTAGTATGAGTTTTCTTTATAATTTTATGTTCCCATTTTTAATAATGTAGAAGGAAAACTCTTACGCTAATAAGCGTTTATTATGGTATGTTATAATTTCAGTTCAGTTGGCATATTACTTACCAACACATCCCAAGGCAGAAAGCAAGTAAAGGAAAAAAAGAGGTTAAATATTTTTAGGATTTAAAAATTAATTTCCTTAAATATCTAAATTAAGACATGCTATATGCAATTTGCAGCATCAAGTATATGCGATTATACTCACCTTCTTTATTTTTGCTCTTCTTTTTCCCGTCCTTGTCCTGAAATCAAACATTTATTTTATTATCAATAATGCACTTAGCATTAAAGTTTTACGGCATAACTCATAATAAATGGCATCAGTTTTAAAAATACTTAAAGATGCTCCCTCTCTTTTCACTTAATGATAATAGGAAGAGACAGGCATAGAGATGATTAATATTTATTATAACTTAGCAGTAAATTACGATAAGAAGTGAGGCCGTAGATTCCTATAAGTCCGTTGTTTTTTTTTTATTATTCTTTTGTATGTACGCCGTCAGCATCGATTGTGTAATATCTAATGACCTCAGATAGATGGCAGTGTAAACATGTTACATACCTTCACCAATGAGCCAATGAAAAGAAACAACGTGAAAGGTGTGAAAATCTGTCTCCTATAGACACCTACATATATCCAACAGTGGACTTTTACAAGGTGATGAGAAAAAGTACATATATCAGAATGTAAATTGGTAGCTTCAACGGTGAAGGGGAGGGTGAACGTTGTGAGATACTTATCTCTGCAAACTCCTATCAGCCTGGAAAACGTGTACCAACTCCCTGACTTTCGCCTACATTTCCCTTCCAGTACAAGAATGATTCGTAGTAAAGGATAGGATCAACTTGCCATCAGGTGGACTGTGTGGTCGTTTGTCACCCTAATTTTATAAATAAAAAATGCACCTTGACCGCGTGCAGTGCGTCGTCGTTGTTGGAGTCGTGCGCGGCGTCGTGCGAGTGCGGGGAGCGGCCCCCCGCGCCCGCCGCACCCCCCGCACCGCCCCCCGCCCCGCCCGCCGGCATCACCGTGCGGGTCTTCGGTTTGCGCCAGCCCTGCGCATAGCACGAGCGTCACGAGCGTCCCATCGCTGGCCACAAGCCTCCTCCCATTTTGGGGGAGAGTGAGAGAAAACGGAACGAGAAGCGTTCGCCATGATGTTCCAATGTGAGTTAGAGATTTTTTATGTCAAAATATATTATTACTAGTTATCTTCTAGTGGTCGATATTACTTAATTATAAAAATAAAAAAAAATTGTAAAGGCAAGCTGTATTTTACATTCAACTACACAATGATAAATAATAAAACAATATTAGTAAGTTAATTTTTGAGTCATGTTAAGTAAAAAAAGCGTTAAATTTATTATATATAAATTTAACGCTTTTTTGCCTTAACATGACTGAAAAATTAACACTTTAAATCACACAGCTGATTCAGTCAATCTGTTACTAATTATTTGTCGGTAACATACAGAATGTTATAGACAACAATCTCTACTCCGTGCGATTTATGGAGTGTAGAGGTAAGGAGAAGAATCTCTCATAGGAGAATAGTTGAAAAAGTGTCCATCTGTAAGCAATAAACAATAGTTCAAAAACTCTCCCCAACAGCGCTGGAGTAGCTACAGGAAACAGCTACATGAAAAGAATTTAGCAGTTGTCGAGGGTGTGAAGTGTGCTGCAAAACTGCTCAGTAGCTCTAAAAACTAAAATAATTTTATTTAGTAAATATAACCTCGAAAAAGTCGTCTACCCCACTAATATTTTTCGGCCCTTATTTAACGGTTTTCTACGAACAGTTTTTAACACACAGTCTGTACCTCTCCCCTCCACAGTGCGGCTGTTTGACCACAGACTATTAACTGTTTGACACTGGCAGTACGGACGTAAATAATTTTATTGCATTTGAGGTATTTGTAACACATATTATATAAACATTTTAGCTTTCTGCCTTCCTTCTCCTCCACTCCTCCATCAAAATAAAACCTTAGTAGCTGAGCTAACTCTTTATCATAGTACACTCGGGAATTACTAGTTTACTAATAAGGTTCCATTTCTACCTTGGATTTTGTCTAGGTAGGTACTACCCTCTAACGTATTCCTACCGCCATGCAGCAGTGTATATATAAGATATAGAGAGCCCAGCTCAGAGGTGACAACACATCTGTAGGTTAGCAACCAACCAACAACCACAACCGGGTAGCAACAATTACTTAACAGTTCGATTGCTAGTTAACTCTTTTTTATATAGAATAAGGGTGACAAACGAGCACACAGTCCACCTGATGCTAAGTGGATGCTGTCATCTATATACATCTACATTTATCATCGATTAAGAATCAAAACGCAGATGCGTTGTCACCCCTGAGGACTAAGATAGAATGCCTCATTTCCACTGAAAAACGGTCTCCGAATCTCTACACTCACCATACGAAACAGAGCAGTGTTATGATGCTATTTTACGCAGGTATTCTGTGAAAGCGTGGTCTTTCCCCGGTCGAGCCGACCCATTCGTGCTACATCCATAATATAGCTACAGCGTAACTCTACCACGTATAAATTCAATTTAACCAAAAAAAAAAATAATAAACAACAAGAGTTCAATCCCCGTCGGCAACAATAAAATTGCTAGATCAAATTTTACGTGCTGATTTTTCAGGTCGCAACGTTGTTCCGGCAGCGAGTCTGGTAAAGTTGTGAGAGTTACCTTACTAACAGCACAAAACCAACGAAAAACGATGCAGAACGTTGAAACAAATATTTTTCCGAAATCTTGCATATCTTAGAAATATAAAAAGTTTCAAAAGCATGTAAAGTGCGCTCATTACAGGTTAGTACCCGCCGGCAGACATTTTGCTGTTTCAAAAATCTACTCAGACATAAATGGAGGCTTATGCTTAGCTTAAGTACATAATAAAAACGTGACTAACAAATAGTCACGTTAGTAAGTAACAAGTAGAACTTTAAAGGGTCAAAGAGAACATGAAAGAAAGGTTTAAATAAACAATTATCCCGCCTTGTAGTGACCGCGTAATCCATTAACCCATATTATCTACCGTGTGTGTTTTAAGACGCGACAAAGAGAAATTGACGGGAAATGAGCAGCAGTATCTTCCTAAAAACAACTCAAAATTATAAAGAGTGACAACTCTGATAAACAACTCTATATCTTTTAATAAACTGTAATGAATGATGATGAATGATTAATGCAGTATGTGAGTGTCATATGGTCATCCGGTTAATATGGTCCCTTTCTTATAACTCAAAAACTACAGCCTTGTTTGCATACGGCTTTGTGATACGATAGCTCTTCATCGGTCAATCAAATAATAAAGGGTCAAAAGGGCGCTGCTTTATCGACGCCATTTCGACAGTTGACATTATAGTAAATATTTTAGTCGATTTTAGCATTGTGTTGTGTAAGCTTTAGTTTTTTTTAAGTAGAATTTTCGAAGTGTTTCTAATTATTGACAAAGCTTGTTTGCTATATTTTTCTTAACATACTAGTTATAGTACACGACTCCGCGTTTTTGCCTCTGTCCTTCTCCTAGTTTTAGTTTTATAGGGCGGCGAAGCTTAAGGTGTTACTAGTACTAAGTTTGAAAAATTCGCCTGTACATTAAAAAATTTCGGAAAGATTAGGATAATTTTAATTCAGTATTGCTTACATGTAATTCTTATTAAAAGTCATTTTTGACTTTTACCACTGGTTGAGAAAAAAGCCTCTTTCCTGGGAAGAACCAGCAAGCAATCCAGCGGAACTTTTTTAAAAGCGTAACTTACAATATAATATTTATACAATTGTTATGAAAACATTTAGAAACATCACGGTAGCAACCACCTCATTCCCAGGGGTTATTAATAATAGGGGTTATTGATAATAACTTATTATCAATAGTGTACTCTTTAGTATTATAATAACTCTTACTAATCAATTTGTGCTTAATAAATATTTTAAACCTATTGATAGATAAGGTCTACATATATTTTGGACTTTGTTTTAAAAGAGAATAATTCTAAGAAATTGTTAGAAAAGACTGAATAAGTTCTAAACTTCGTTAAGTGTAATTGCCTTTTTATGTTTTAGAATAAATTTCTTAATAATTTGAAACTGAGTTTTGCAAGGACAAATAAAATGAGAAATTAATATCATCAATATAATTGAGCGCAAAAAGTCCGTATGAGTGCAAATTTAACGCACCTATATTTTCTTTGCCGTAAGCATAGTAATAGTTTATATAAGTAGTATATAAACGTATAATAATAGTATTAGGTAAATAATAGTTTAGATACCTAACACAAATGAAAACATTATTAAATTTTAAAAATATATGTATAAATAATATTAGTTGATTATTTATTATTCATTATTTATTGTAATTGATGATTGTCAAATGAGGACTTCTTGTCCATATAACCAAAAGTAAAAAATATCCTAACATCCGAACCCATTTATCCAACCCCCTCAGATAAGGAGTACCATTTATCTTGCAAACCCGCCTGTTGAGCCGCGAATGTGGAATGTTTTAAATATTCCTTCCCCTCTACCTAACCAAGCATGAAAAAGTAAAATGATGCACAATTATTCATCAGTTATCCATCCACATTCCGTATGCGAATAATATTTTCTTTTTCGGTAGAAAGGAAAATATTTTGAGTGAGAATTTAGTATGCGCATATAAAAAAGGTTTGGATGCAGTGTCAGAAACACGGGGACAGTCACAGCATATACATTACAAATGTACCACTAATCAAAGAAGGTGCTATATATAATATACAATGTGACTAAAACGACATAAAGTTTGTTTTATGCCTTCGTCCATAGTACTTTTTAAGAAACAAATGACGAAAATACCTTCGCATTTCCCTCCTTAAGATCTGACTCATCGTACAATATTTTGTCACTCTCATGTGCAGTTCTACCACATATCTTAACATCTCCTTTGGTAGATACTTCTTTCTCTTTCGCGCAATCACAAGTAATAACACTTCCTTTTAAATCGACATATTCTTTATTCTCATTTATATCACTAACATTGTTGTTATTGTTTACACACAGAACTTCACTATTTTTATCGCACACAATGTCAACACTAGATTTGGTATTATTGGCATTTACATCCGCATATTTACAATTATCTTCATTCTTTACAACTGAACAATTTGCTTCTTCACTCATTTCTAAATGAAACATCAGGAAATTTCTCTTGGTTATTACGCATCGCTTAACGCGGATGTATGAACATTTCTAAACGTCAATAAACGACTATCAAACAGCTTGGTCAGTTTCCTCGGCGGTAAAGGTGTTGTCGCTAAGTAAACACGCACATATGTTCATGACGTGTTATGATAATGACTGGCCGCCGTCTATCTAAGGCGAGTCAACACATCGTGTTGCGTCAAAGAATAATCCGCGTACAATTTTGCATCGATATTTAACATTTTCGACCTATTTCTATTTTGATTGTATTAGTAAATTGGTAACACATTAAATAATAAATTACGAAGTTGTTAGGTTTTCGTATACATATAACTATATAACATATAATAACTACTTATATATATAACCTATAACTCGTTCAATTCAATTTTAATGTACTAAAATTTATTATAATATAAATATTATATTTAACATTTTAAAATGTAAAATTATAATCATGTTAATTAAATTTAAGTAAAAAAAAATAACATTAAAAATTCCTCTGAGAGTATCAGTTCAAATAAGAATCAATCCACACAACAAAATTATGTAATCTTTGATGGAGTATAATTAGAGAGCAAGGTCGTATGAATAAATTTTGATTGCACACTTGCAGACTAGTGCCTAGTTTATATAGTGATTCACGTGATAATGTGGTAATACTGTAAAGTTAAGTACTTATTTTTCAATTTCTTTTTATTTTATTTATAAGGCATCATACTTTGTATGTCTAATTATAGACTTGAAAACAGTATAGATTTGAAGCAGGAAATATATTTGATCGTACATTTTATATAATTTTAATCGACTTATTAATTTGAAATACAATACCTTACTATAAAAATTTGTAGAAAAAATGCACCCGTAAGGGTGGGAAAAATAGATGTGAATTTTTTAAGTAATTATCTAGACCAAATGTGTGAGTGGCAATCTCACAAGTTAACAACTTGTGATATTGTCAAAAATATCAATAAAACTTAAAAAAAAAAGTAAAAATAGACTAAAAATATTACTGTAGTATTAACGTCGAATTCAGAAGTAATTAAATTATGAGGAAAATATTTTCTTTTTAATTTTTTGAATCGTTTATATTCAATTTTAAATAAATGTCGATATCTCTAAAATAAAGTGTGTTTTGATAATATAATTAAGTTATAATAATTACTTTATTACAATAACTTTATCATATCATAACTAAAATATTCTTCTATTTAAATTCTATATTAATAACTATATGTTATTCAAATAATATTATAGAAAGCATTAATATTTCAGAAAAGCGCCTGTCCTACGGTTTCATATATATATTGTAAAAATCAATTGCGATTTCTGCAGGCATCACTGATTGTTAAATTGCAATTTAGGTGGTGATTTACCACGAGCTTGGTAATGAAGGAAAACATCGTGAGGAAACCTGCAGGTCTACTCTGAGGAAGAAAATAATTCGAGGAATGTGATAAATGCTAACAGGCGCTGGAACAGCGTGGAGGTCTAACACTATTAGATTATAATCCTATTAGAACCTAATCGTATCAAAAATGAGATACTAGTATATATTATAGGCTGCAACTATTAGAGCGTTATTATTTGTCCAACGCGTATATGGATTTTTTATTGTTGTTGCGTATAATCAATATATAAAGTTAAGTAATATGTCTTTAGAATAAACAAACATATAAAACAAAAACCTTTTTAAGTTGAGGTATTAAAAACCCTGCTAGTTTTATGCCTGACCGCTACTTGCGACATAGGCCATCTCCCCGGCATAGATTATTAAGCGCTAATTCCCCACTATGTTGAATGCACAGCGAAATCAACGCTCATCTGAGGGCTGCATCAGTGCATATATTATATTATAATATATTTGATATATTTGCGGATAGTTAGAATGTGCAGTTGTCAGCTTGTTAACGATTTTGCGAAAGTAATGATATATAATTTATATTTTATCTCTTAGCATAGTTTATACTCATGTGCCTTTCGAAATTATTAATTACTGTAATCGGATTAAAAACCGTTGCAATTACTTAAATAAAAAAATAGTCTGAAATATTCCCTATACGTGTGTATATTGTATTTTGCACTTACTTTATCATCGAAGAATCCCTGGTCATCAGTCCTCTGTTGTCCCAGCAATCTGTCGGTCTCCAAATCAGTGTCAGCTTCATCTGAAGTAAGAAATTTGTCCAATTTAACTAAACGACGTATAAATAAAATCCTAGTATAATCTATACTAGCGATTCGCCCCGGCTTTGCACGGGCGATTTCTGGATATGTATATATTATGTTGCAATCGAGTCTGCACTTTCGGAATGATTATTTTAAACAATCAGAACGCAAGCGCCATCCGGTGGCACTGGACAGAGTCTAAGACGTAGCGGTCGACCGGAGCTGCAGACACATTATCGTGGGAGTCGGAGAGTGAAGTTGTCTAGAAAGTGTCCCGCGTTCCGTATAGTTTGTATATAGGGTTACGTAGTGATTTATGTTAGTAATTATTTAAGTGATTTTTTACCCAGAATTACATTGTTGTTAATTATCGTGACGGCCCCCAAGAAAAATAAATTACTATGTCCGACAATAACGAGGGTAATTTACCTGTTGTAAGTGTTGTCAAAATGCAGAAATCAACCGTGCGAAGCCGGGGTGGATCGCTAGTTAGTTAATAAATAAATTAACGTTAACGTAAACTCGTCATCTAGTTCAATATTTGACATCAAACCTTGTTAGGTTTTTCAACAGTGACGGTTTTTTACGGTAAGGTATTAAATTTACACAAAACCGAAATCTGTCAGAAGCCATAATATTTTTCAACCATTTCCCATGGACGCTCTCCAGCAACACCGACACCAGTAGACAAAATGGAGTAATGTGTTCTCTCTATAGGTTGCCACAACACAACATAATAAACCAATTAAAGAGATGTAATATTCTTCCCAAAACGCATGTTGCCATGTATGACGATTACAGTCTTATGTTTCAAGGCAACCATTGCAATTCTTTCGATTTGGAAAAAGCCTGTCTGTAGATGATAGTTCTGCGTCTGGGCGCTCATGAGTTTCGTAGCATACATGTATGTTCTTGATGTATCAAGAACCCTAATTTAATACAACATAGTAAAATATAAATTATTACTATATTGTATTTAATACTGGATCTTGACAACATAGTCACCTACCGGGTCTAACTATATCTAAAACCCATCCAAGTGACCCTATAACTACCACATAAATATTTTATCGAACTCGATCAAGCCATTTAGGATGACAAGAATTACGAACACACACATACTCCAGAATTTTATATATAAAGATTGCTATATAGTATGAAACAATGTAATAATATATTTCTTTCACCGCCGGTAACGTAGTAACAAGCACTTTAGACGATGATTAATAAAATGTTTTTTCTCTCTTTCTGACGGGGAAGAAAAATTTTGTATTTCTCTATCTTATCTTTTACTCATTTAGAAATGAAAGGCACGTGCCAAGCAGTAGACTGAACGTAACCTTCCTTAACTATATCCAGCAGTGGTGGAATATTTCAAAGGAACTGATTGACGACGATGCGATGTATTAAAAATAAAATAAACACTCGCAACTTACCTTCGTCGCCGCTAACTTGTTTTATTTCAACCGAATCCGTACTTTGTGCGGACGACGGCCTTTTACTGAAATTATACGTATAAAGATTTAAGTGAAAAATATTAAATACCCTACATTATTTTACACTTATTTTATATAAAAATATCAGACAAACATCAAAATTATTAGATAGATGGATAATTTTAATAGATATATCAACGAAAGGAAAAATAAGTGATATTATTTAACATGGTCAAGCGCCAAGAGATAATAGACCTAGTAATATAAATAAGTTACACCTATATTTATATAATTATATCTATATCTATTATATTAATTATATCTATACAAAAGAGAATGTGTGTATACATGAAATGGTTTAACTCAAAATCTATTTGATTGATCACCATGCAAATTGGTAGATATATGTATATTTCAATGGAGAAGGTTTATACTTATAAACAAAAAAATATTTAGAAACAAACAAAATTTGAAAGTTGAATTAAAAAATATATTTCGAAAAAAAAAATTATTTGCTTTTTTTCAATCAAACGCAGTAATTAATAAATTAAATTGCATACGCTTAAATAAAAAAAAAAGCCGAACACAAGCTATGATGTTAATTGGCAGAACAACGCTACCGGGTTCAGCTCGTACAATCCAATGATTTCATAAGGAAGGATAGGCCCATCTAAATATTTTACTCATAAATTTTTCACACAAGAAAAAGTAGCGCATCTGTCATAATACAAAGATTAAACGCAACCAGGGTCGGATTTCGTAGTTTAATTATTATCCTAATTGCACCATTATTTCATAGTTTGTTGTATATATTATCGTAATAATACTAAGCGAAAATATTCTAATTTTACATAAAGGTCAACTTGTATTATTATTGGGTCCTTTTACATTTTAATATTAATCCTACAATATCGAGAATTTCTGTATTGTACATGAGTATCGCGTTTTTTTTAATAAAATTAGAATTAGCTACCTTTCTGGTCAATCGGTGCTCGATCGATGCATTTATGTTGCATCCTTAATACAACTACAATGAAGGGCTACCACGATAAAAACTCTATGTTCCAGAAGGAATCGATTTGAAATCAGAATTTCAAAATATTTTAGGAATCAGATTTTCAGATTCAATTAAGCAGATATGGTTTCTTTTGTACTCTTTTGTCTTTGATATAATGTATTAGGTACCAATATTCAAAATTTAACTTACACTAAGTATTTTAGAAAAAAATGAAACGGAAATAAAAATAAAACCATCAAAAAACGTAACGTATAGATAAACTTGACGCGTGACATGGGAAAAACGAACATTAAAAGTCAAACGTGATATAATTTTTTAGATAGTATAATTTTATTTTCCATGTACAACATTTTTAAGGGTCTGAATCCAACCCTGTCCTAATCTTGGTAACGTAACTAAACCAACCGTAAAATAAAACTTTTAAAATGCGTTTATATAATAATTTAATTAAAATAAAATTAATATAAAGCTATTAACCGATGATACGATATCCCATGTTTCTTTTTAATCTTTGTATCGTAATTTTTGCATCCTTTTACCACGCAACTAGACATATTTATGACAGGCAAATCTGTCATGCGCGCGCACCACTGTCGTCCGATTCGCGTTGGCCCTAAACTGTTATTTTAGGGCCAGTGCACTGGTCCGTTTTTAGTTGTTTGGTCGGCCCGGTCCTTACGCTAGTAATATATAAGTCAATGGTACAATCATAAGTTGTGTACTTTAATCTTAGTCATACGTGGAAAGGTGTTCATGAGCTACAGTGGTCACTATCGGGTATACTATTATTTTATTATAGTAATATTAAAAACAATATTAATATTTATTATTTTTATTAAAACCATCTGTATTAAGTTTTCAAAGAAATATTTCAAGTTCGATATGTTAACTTCGTTTACTTTCCAATCACTACGGTTTTTTTAAACAGTCTACAATACTTGGATTTAGTGTGAATTATTAACGGAAACTCTGTTTACTAATGCTAATAGTATTGTTATTAATATTCACTAGTGATCTAAATCCGACCGTAATTCACAAAATTTTTTTTCTTCGATTTATATTCGATTTACTTTTTATGTGTGTTGCCTCATAACTTTACTCTAGGTGAATCGATTTTGATGATTCTTTTTTTATCCGAAAACTGGTGCTTCTCGTGTGATCACATTTAATCAAGATCTGACCAGTAGTTTTTGAGTTATCTTTAATAATGCATATTTAATTAACTTCGAATACATTGATTCGGTCGTATTGAAAGCGGTTGTACAAAATTTTATCACCTGTAAGTTCGTATATGAGGCAAGCTGTATTTCTCTTTTAAGTGCAATTTTTTACATGTCATATGGCAACCCAAAATCTATTTGTCAAATAATTTTTACTGCAAACGGCGGATGTTTACGTTCATTTCGCAAGTTTGTTTTTAAATTTTGGAATAATCCAGAAGCAAAACTAGTAAAATGGTCATTAAATGTATTGTGTGCGGTTGCAAATGCGAGTGGCATCCAGGATGTAATACTATATTTCATTCGTAAGTAAAAAAAAAACACAATGCAATGCAAAAGAGACGGAGGGGTAAAGAACAATTTCAGGGTCATTTTCTTGTATTTTTTATATCATTCGAGAGGGCGAGTTCCAGTTTCTACGAAGTACATGTATTTCCATGATTTGTCCAATTAACGGCTAATCTTTCCAATATGGACCATCGATTTCAAAGCCCATATGTTTTTTGTAGATAGTACTCACTAAAAGAAAGCGTTTTGCAAAGTTTTAGGTTGCGGAAACTTACGGTTCATGAGATATATTTTTTTAAACTTTTCATACAAATTGGTAAATAACACGCAATTACAAAATAAATTTGACAAATGATTGATGTTAAACGTCAGTTAGTGTAGGGTTCCGAATATTTTGAAAGTATCGATACCTACTCGATACCAAGTATCGTATCAAAAGTATCAATACTACTTGGTATCGAGTACATATCGTTAATTTTGAAGACGAAAAATTATGACAAACCAATTAGATGCATAGGAAGAGCTGATAAGTGCAATTATATATGTATATAAAGTAGAATAAAGTTTACTCTATTTAAGTTCCACCTTAGTACTTGTATTTTATTGTTTGCAACTTGTTTGTATTTCTTAATTAGTACAGCTTTTGTACTTTTATTTTATTGTTTGCAACTTTCTGTATTATCTAATTCTTACTACAATAAAGTGTTTACTTACTTATTGACTTACTTATTTAATATTCAAAAAGTACCCAAAACCGAATCAGAGCACACCACTATCCACGTGGTCTTGTCTGCCCTACCCCTAGAGTGTATATAAGAGCCCGGAGGCGCGGAGGGAGAGCAGTGCCCGCTCGCCGTAGGGAAGCGCAGGCACCAAGATCGCCGTAGCGGCTGAGGCTGGTCGCCGAAGGCGACCAAAAAGCCGAAGCTGCGAAGGCGAGCCCAGGTGCCTGTGCTTCCCTACGCTAGGGCGGAGGCACTGCTCATCCCGCAGCGCCGGAGCTGCCACGGAGCGCCGGACAACTTCCCGGCTTCTTACCCCCCTAGTCTCCAAAATTAACGAAATGTACTCGATACCAAGTAGTATTGATACTTTTGATACGATACTTGGTATCGAGTACGTATCGATACTTTCAAAATATTCGGAACCCTACACTAATTGACGTTTGACATCAATGATTTGTCAAATTCATTTTGTAATTGCGTGTTAATTGCCAATTTGTATGAAAAGTTTAAAAAAATATATCTCATGAACCGTAAGTTTCCGCAACCTAAAACTTTGCAAAACGCTTTCTTTTTAGTGAGTACTATCTACAAAAAAAAATATGGGCTTTGAAATCGATGGTCCATATTGGAAAGATTTACCCAATTAACAGTTATATAATAAGTTATTTTACAATGGCGTTATGAACTTAAATATAATTTTAGTTTATTTTCAATCTACTTCAAAAACAAAAGGAGGAGGTTCTCAATACGACCGTATTTTTTTAATGAGTGTTTTTGTAGATGAACCGATTTTTATGATTCTTCTTCTTTTTATTTGATAGCTTCTGCTTCTCATGTGGTCCTATTATAAATTTAATCAAGATCCGACCAGTAGTTTTTGAGTTATCCCTTAATAATGCGTATTCAATTGAATTCTACTACATTGATGATGTTCTCAATTTATTTATATTGAAGTCGGTTGTACAAAATTTTCAACTTCACCACTTGTATTTAATGGATTTGTAACACATTTATTATGTATAAATTTTTGCTTTCAGCACTGCTCCTCCATATAAATCTGAACTATACCAAATCTCACACTTAAGTGTGCGCAATACGTTTAAAACGGTGTACAAAGTTTTCTCTTCACGTCTTAATGTAGAGATTTCCAGAAGATTCGACTCACCGAGGGTAAACGTCGTCGTGCGGTGAGTGCATGTGCGGCGTGTGCGGCGCGTGCGGTGCGTGCGCGACGTGCGCTACGTGAGTCGCGTGCGCCACGTGCGCCGCGTGAGGTACGTGGGGCACGTGAGGCACGTGGGGCACGTGGGGCGCGTGGGGCACGTGTGCGTTTAAAGGCGCGTGCTCGACGGGCGACCGATGCGGCGCCGGCGCTGGCGGCGGTGGTGCTGAACACGCTGACATAATACAAACAGTGGAGAGTGAAAGTTGAATCCAAAGCATGGCGATTAATGGCTGTCATAACAGGCGACAGAGGAAAATGAAATAGGTGACATTTAATAATGATTGATACGTAGTTGAACCACGTTGCAGCTATATTATGGTTGTAACACGAATGGGTCGGCTCGACCGGGGAAGGACCACGCTTTCACAGAATACCAGCGTAAAATAACAGCTTAATACAGCTGTGTTTCGTATGGTGAGTGTAGAAATCTGGAGATTTCTTACTTTTTACTAGAAACGAGACATTCCATCTTGGTCCTCAGGGGTGACAACGCATCTGCGTTTTGATTCTTAATCGAGGATAAATGTAGATGTCTATGGACCACAGCAACCACTTACCATCAAGTGTACTGTGTGCTCGTTTGTTACCCTTATTCTATTAAAAAAAAACCTTTTTAATTGACGACGTTTACAGACACTTTACAGGAGTGATGTGTAATATTACCGTAAATATAAGAAATCATCATATAACGTATAATTGAAACGAATTTGCGGGGAGACTATTTTCATTTTAATATTTACCTAGAGGATCCAATGAGTGTAGATCGGCGTCGGACAAGATGAGTGGGTCAGTGTTGGTTCCATTCTCAACTATTTCGTGTATTATAACTGAAGAGTTCTGTAAAACAGAAATTAGACAAATATTAACATAAAATTTTATTGTATTTCCTTCACTTACGTTTACGTTTTGCCCTCGTGAGTAGAGGCAGTGTCATATTACCAAAACTTATTTCGTGATAGAGTATTGCTGCGGCTTATTATAGCTAGCATATTTTAGTCACATTGTCAAAAGCAGGGTGAAAACATTAATAAGTGTTATATACACTATATTAATTTGTATGTTAGTATAGAGTAGAGCCACTTGTAGCTATATTTTGGTCGGCTCGACCGTGAAGGGACTATACTTGCATAGAATACCCAACGAGAAATAGCAGCATAATAATATTAATATGTCGAAAATATAAAATTGATTCTGTTTATGTTGATAGGGTTGTCATGGTTACGCAAAGATGTTATGTCAGTTTTTCTAGTATATTATTTAATGAATTTTGATATCTAGATAGATTCATTAATAAGTCTATTACTTTAATTCACAATATGGTTTGTTTATTATTAAAACATGAACTATCGTAGACAATGCAAATAAAAGGAGTTATTCGACAGCAAGTAAGGTGTTCTCTTTATTGCTAAAAAGAGGGAAATTACGTAGTGTAGAGGTATGGCCGACACACACAGTCAGTTAAACTGATCCGTTCAAACGAAAGTAAGCCAAAACTATTCCTCCACTCACTGGCTTCAAATATTAACATAAGATTTCACATTCACGGTCAGTATTTGGATTTACGTCAGTTCAAATAAATAGTTAAACTGACCGTGTGCCCGAAAAATTGACGTAACTGACTGAAAAAACATCTTAAAATTTCACATGCGGTCAGTTTTCGGATGCACGCCAGTTGAACCAACCAGTTAAACTGACCGTGTGTATCGATACAAGTAGCACTTGTTTGTATTCATATGTATTTGCGTAATTTCTCACCACGCCATCGGTTGGCTGACAAAAAATGCTAATTGGCATTAAGTACGCCCTTTGTAACCTCTATGGTTTGTACAATAAAGTTTTTAAATAAAGAAAATATTGCTGTTTAGCATAAATAAAATTTTGCTAGCAGTCTTTTTTTCGTTTTATTTTCTTCTAGTAAAATAAATTAATATATGCGTTTGTTTAAGTAAATTAGCTTTTTATTAATGGGTTACTTTACTATATCTATACATAGATACATGCTTCATAATTTAGTACATTAATTATGATATCACATCAGATCAAATTAATTTTAAACATTAAATCTGAGCTGACACCATATGCTCAGTGTTAATTTACTCGTATTTAAGTTATTTGATATTAGTTCTAATGTAAAGCTAGTTTTTTTTTGACAAATATTGATTATTTGAGAGGAAACTAAAGACGTATCTGTATGTATTATGTTTTTAAATATCATAACTACCTATAAAACTTGAGACTAGTGTTAAAGTGGTTTTTCCTACCATTCTGTTTTTATTATGACTGTGGGGTCGCTTGTCACCCTTACGTCCATAAAAATATATTGTTTAGTTAGCAAGAAAATGGAAAACAAAAGAATAAAAAAGAGAAGAATCTCTCACCTGGTTATTATTGTCTGTGTCAGAACCGTGACCGGAGGAAAGTCCATCCTCAACTACCGGGAGATGCGTGACTACCACGCGGCTATCGAGTTGGACTGCAAAGTGATGGAAGCACATTTTTATTATATTGTTGCGCGCCACAATTAATGCTTGGTACATGGCGACATTAGTCAGTGGGGACTCAAGTCAAGATTTTCTAGAGTTCCATGCTAGAACTGTCTACACTAGTAGTCAGGAGTATGTACTCGAACTCAGAGTAGTGAAAGAGGCTATATAGGGCTATGCACCGCAAATGGGTCAGTATTAAATTGGCGATGCTAGCGAATACTTCGAAGCGATATAATTGCGAACTAAAGTGATCAGTACATATTACAGTTGTGTTTTATTATTAGTGTGTTTTAAGTTTTAAGTAATTGGTGATTGGTAATTAAAGTATCAATTTTTGTAATTCAATCGGCAGTTTTTATTGTCACGAACCCCAAGCTCGTAACAATATTCCATCCATTACAGTCTATAAAAGTTCACTGCTGAACATAGGCCTCTCCCACAGATTGACTCATTGGGACGGGTTTTCCATAGTTGCCACGCTTGGCAGGCGGATTGGCAAACACACTTTTTTACTATTTTGAGTTGTTATCAGGAAGATGCTGCTGCTCATCTCCTGTTTCAGTTTCCCTCCGTCGCCTCTTACGACTCCCACGGGACGATATTATGCTGTAGTGTAGTACTCTTACCGTCTCGCTAGGATACATATATACAAAAATAATGTTTACAAGTTCGTGAATCTAGGAAGTTTTTTGACTGACAGTTTTTTTTATAATAGTATAAAACGTACAAATTACAAATAGCATTGTAGCTACCAACTTCTTTCTAAGGTCCTTTATCATAATTTATTTTCCAATATTAGAATAAGCCTTTTTATGTCTTTTGTTTAATATTTTATTTTAACTTTTGGGCTTAAGAATTTGTAGTAATCCTCACGCTTGGCAGGCGATAGACAATCACAGAGTTTTTGAGTTATACTTAATAATGCGTATTTAATTGACTTCGACTACATTGATGATTGTCTCATTTAATTTTTATTGAAGTCGGTTGTATAAATTTTTTATTTTTACAACTTGTTGAATATAAAATCTTATAAGTTCGCGTCACCAGTATGCTGTAACAACAGTATATATTTAGCTATAAGTTTGATGATATAAGTATGACAGTATATGAGGAGAGACCTAAGTTCAGCAGTGACTTTTGAAAGGCTGTAATGATGTTGTATACATATATACATAATAAAACATAAATACAAAACTAACCTTTCATCTCAGACAGCTCACTCTCCATTATAGCGAGTGAAAGATCGCTGGCCGAGTCACTGGCAGCCGACGACAGCGTGAAAGGCAGCCGTTGGTCACGCGTGTCTAGTTGATCTAGCTGATCACGTTGATCGCGGAGCTCACGCGAGTCAAGGAAATCACGTAAGTCTCGCGGGTCACGTGGGTCACGGAGATCACGGAGGTCACGTGAGTCACGCAGTTCGCGGATGGTTGTTAGCGGCGTGGGCGAGCCCGACCCGCTGTTGGGGGCGCCCGGTCGCAGAGCGGTCACGTCCGGTGCGGAATAAAGGGAAATTTGTTGCTGGAATGATAACATACTGTGCATTCAAATTGATTAATCTATACAAATAAATAAAATGTAAATGTTTGTAATGTCAAAATAATATATTTTTACAATATGGACACGAAAGTATACACGGTATTTAAAACAAGAACAACAATATTAAAAATTTCTGTCTGTCTGTCGATTTGTGTGTTTGTTCCCGCTAATCTCAGAAATGGCTGGACCGATGGTGACGGTACTTTCACTGGCAGACAGGCCATGTTACTATTTTTAGAAAAACAACTACTAGCGTAAAATAGCAGCCTATTGCTGCTGTGTTACTTATGGTGAGTGTAGAGAACCGGAGACCCTTTTTACTGGAAACGAAGCATTCCATCTCAGTCCCTACGGGTGACAACGCATTTGCATTTTGATTCTTAATCGAAGATAAATGTATATGTCTATGGGCCACAGCATCCACTTATCATCAGGTGGACTGTGTGCTCGTTTGTCACCTTTATTCTATAAAAAATCTACATTTTGATTTTTAATTGTGGATTAATGTTGATATCTATGGGCCACAGCATCCACTTATCATCAGGTGGACTGTGTGCTCGTTTGTCACCTTTATTATATAAAAAATCTACATTTTGATTTTTAATTGTGGATTAATGTTGATATCTATGGGCCACAGCATCCACTTATCATCAGGTGGACTGTGTGCTCGTTTGTCACCCTTATTTTATATAAAAAAATGTTAGTTATCAATAAAATGAAACAGTGTACAATGAACGAATCGGAATATTGATACGAACGAATCGGATAATTGATAGGCTGTAACGGTAACGCCTTAGCGTTACCGTTACAGCCTATCAATTAACTGCTGAACATATCCCCCCCACTAGTTGTCACGCTTAGCAGGTGGGTTAGTTACCGCAATTTTTTATTTTTTAATTTTTAATAGGAAGACGCTGCTGACCATCTAGTTTGATTTTTTATGTCGCCTCTTACGACATTATGCGGTAGTGGATGTTATTTCAACGCCACTACACGCCGAGTGTGAAATAACGCCTACAATACCTGCAATCCTAAGAAATCAGTGTGGTTGTGAGGCGCGTGAGGTGAATTCAGAGTGTCTTCGACCTGCGGCCATTCGGAATCGCTGCACTCTTCAATGCCATTCTCTGATGGACAGTCCTGTGTCTGACGTCTCAACTCATAGTCCAATTCCTGAAATGAGAAACACAATTTTTAAATAGTTTGTATTAAAATAAGAAGAGCGGAGCCAAAGATGCGAGACGTGTGATGCTGCAATTAATTTTGTGTTGTGATGAAAAGAAGATTGTTTTCTTCAAATAATATTGTTAAGAGCTTGGGGTTCGTGACAGTAAAAACTGCCGATTGAATTACCAAAATTGACACTTTTGATTACCGAACACCAATTACAACTTAAAACACACTAATAATAAAACAAAATTGTACTACTCTCTCGCTTCGAAGTTTTCGCTTGATTCGCCAATTCAATACTGACTCGGTCGCGGTTCTTACTGGCCTTATATAGGGCCTCTTCTACTGAAAAATCTATAATGTTCGAGTATATATCGGCCCCGACCGACTAGGTGGAGAAAGTTCTAGTATAGAATTTTCTAGAAAGCTCTCCTCGTTCTGCTACTCGACACTAGATGGCGCGAGTTACCACTCGCCATGTATCAGGTATTAATTAAGGCGCACAACACCATTAGTGACAAACGGGTTGACAGTCCACTTGATGGTTAGAGACTACTGCATTCCATGGAGATCAATTTCAAATAATGGTTGCCACATCTATAAACTTATACAGAATGTTTTCGTGTTAGAGCTATGCTGCAGCTATATTAATTGTATAGTAGTACGAATGGGTTGGCTCGACCGGGGAAGGATCACACTCTCACAGAATACCGGCCTAAAATAGCAGCGTAATGCTGATGTATTTCGTATGGTGAGTGTAGAGAACTGCAGACCCTTTTTACTGGAAAAGAGGAATAGGAATTCCATCTTGGTTCTCATGGCTGACACTGCATCTGCATTATGATTCGCAAACGAGAAAGCTACAGCAACCACTTACCACCAGATGGACTGTGTGCTCGTTTGTCACTCGTATCCTATAAAAAAATAGTCTTCATGTTGATACGTTTTCACACCTGTGGTGTCCACTTAACTAGAATGCCTTGGTACCATTCAAAATGGTATCCGGTTCTCATTCCTCACCAGTAGAGAAGAAGTACAGAAGTACATTATGCTGCTATTTTACGCTACTACTTCACGTTTTTTCTTATAGAAGAGGTAAGTGATTACCGCCGCCCATGAACAACTGCAACACCAAGAGAACTGCAGGTGCGTTGCCGGCCTTTTAAGAAGGAGTAGGCTCTTTTCTTGAAGGTTCATTAGTCATATCGGTCCGAAAAAAACTCTAAAGGTAGTCGATTCCACAAGGAAGTTGTGCGAGGAAGAAAAATTCTTTTAAATCGCACAGTAGTGGACCGCCAGTCATCCAGATCCACACCGGATGGTATCGCGAGTTTTGTCGCGATGTGCAATGGTGAAATTTTGCGGCTGGAATTAGTCCGAACAATTCCTCAGAGCAATACCCGTGGTAAATGCGATAAAATAAATACGCAAGAGATATAACATCTCTTCGCGGTGCCAGCGAGTCAAGCCGATCGAAAAGAGCTCGGTCTTCGGTGAGGTTTTTCTATCGTGACTTTGTCACGTAAAAACAACTTCAAAATATTATTTAAGGTTAAGCAATACCCAGAAATAAAATTAATGCTTGTTTTCTCACCTGAAAATTGACAATTTCATCGTTGGTGCTAAGCTGAGTATGGCCGGGTACTGCAGGACAACGGAAAAATTCCTCCAATACCTTGCGAGTCTCCGAGAACTCGTAAAGGTAATCGAAGGCGGAACTGGGCGGTGGGGACACGTCCTGACTCTCCGTTACTACTCTCTGGAAGAAATAGCATCTTTTTAATAGGCAGATGAATAAAAAAAACGATAAGGATTGACATGATATTAGTATCATAAGTATTACAATCACAGCACGCCATGACTCCACTACTGAATATAGTACACCAGATATTGTCAGAAAGAACGGTACTAAGCTACTTTATTTATAGGTGGATGAGTCAGCCTCTACATGTATATAGATAATATACCCCTTTTTATCGTGTATTTACAAAATATACACAAAATATTTTCTAGCTTAAGAAATTATTATTTTAATTTTTTATTAATTCAGGGTCGATAAATTGTTCGGATTAGGTTTGGTGTGTATATAACTCTCAAACCCTTTTCTAATACAAAGTTTATGCACGTGTGTGCACGGCATCACCTAGCGCATTAACAATGAAAAGAGAACGCTTGCGATATACTAACCTGTGGAAACCCTGGTCTCGGCGATCTATTACTGTTCTTCTGAGTCCCAACACCGTACCTCCTCGGCGAGCCTTCGTACTCCGCTATCGGCAGCTCGCCTATCACCCTAGTAACCCTGTTCTTATCCTCGTCACCCGACAACCAAACACCACTGGGGCTACCCTCACTCATCCTAACGTCCTCCCTAGAGGGCAACGACTCACTTTCATCACTCAGTTCACTTTTATTGTTCATCACTTCACTATCACCATTCTTCATACAGTCTAAAGTTCGTTTAACACTCGTATCTATATCATCGTCACTCGCTTCTGGTTCCATCCTCAAACCTAAGGACACAGAATTCAATATCACTGAAAATAAAAGGAGAGAAAAATTTGTTTTATGAATGCGGTCGAAGGGATGAAAGAAATGAGATGGCGGTGTTTTTTTTTTATTTGATATCAATTAAGTTTGCCGTTTGAAAGAAAAAAAGAAGAAAACACACATTGTTTGAGTACGATATATTAAATACAGGCTTAATTTACAAAAACTAAAATATGAATAATATATTTAAAAATCAACAGAATTAAACTTATGACTATACCTTGAGACTAACGATACTATTTTGTTTTTTTTTACGTTATGCATAATATTATAAAATCACGAAATGGACCGGCCTCAATATGCACTTATTTTCAGTCCGGCCCATACCACCATCATCAAGTAGATATATAAATTTGAGCCCACAACCTCGTGCAATTCGGACGTTTGGGAGAGCAAATGTTCGATTACTTTAAAATTTGATCATTTGAGATCACCTAAGAGAATTCATCGTGCCATTTTGTTCCGCAAGTGTCGTAAGAGGCGGCTATGGAAACAAGCAGATAGAACTCATGGCCTCCTACAGATGGTGGTATACAATTTCGTAAGAGAATAGGAAGTAAACCCAAACAAGCGACTGGATGCAGCGTCAACTATGCGAGATATCTGGTACGAAAAATCATCCCTACAGAAAGGCTTATATTTAGAAGGAAGAACAAAACAATAACAGGCTGAGAAAGAACAAAAAACGTGTTGATTGAACGAGATAAGAATAATAAAAAATATTTGGAAAATCCAAAAATGCACAACTCGAACGCTTATGCAATGTTTTGAATAAACAATTTATTTTTATTAATTACCTAAACACGTATTTCGTTTATAGCTACAAAAAAATTGTTTCTGTTTAATTAACACAAAATTTTATTTTGACTGTTTGATGTCGGTGATTCGTATTTTATTATCGAAAATAATTGTCAAATATTAATGAACCGGACGGTTTACAAAAGTGAAATTCAAAAGGGTTCCTAAGGATTAAAATCTAAAGCTAATAAAGAAAATCAATGATAAGTTCAGTTTTTTCGAAAGATATCTTGTTCGCATACCGCCCAACGGACGTGCAAGCGAAATTATTTTTAATTAACTTTTTCTTTATAATAATTAGAATAAATAATTTTATAACTACGTCAGAAGTATTAATTGAAACTTCCTCTTACTATTGATGTACGTATGTTATTATATAAGTTTAATACAAAGCTGGTGGATTTGAGTGGATCGCGATTTTTTGTTTTGATGACAATATAGGGCACTACATCTTCGCTTCGCGTTCGATGTGTGCTTAATGTACATGAATCTTTATTCATTTAAAGATTTCGTTCTGCGGGTGTCACAAAGAGGCGACTTGAAATCTTATAGCATATACGAGCTTATTCAGAAAATACCTATAAAAACCTCATAGCTTCCGACAGATGACTATTGTATTCTATTTCTAAAAACAAACTTGTTGGGAGCGTTTTTAATGTCAAGAGGGATGTCGTTCCAGAGTCTAATGGCCGCAAGGGCGAAAGAGTGAGATAGGTAACCAGTAGGGTGCAAGGGAGTGAGCAACTTAAAATTAGCCGAAGAACGGAGAGAACAATTATTCCAGAGAGAATCGTCCAGGTATTGAAATTTGGATTTCAAATACTCGGGAGCACATGGATCGTGATGATGATATTTCAAATAATTTAACTCTAGTGGTGATACCACTGAAGTTATAAACGTCGTTGATTCGTCGTGATCCGTCTCAGCATTATAGATTAGTACACCTGCATTGTAACGTATTTAGTAACTTTATTTTTAAATAATTTTGGAGTGACCATCGAGCCAATCGTCGTCGCCATAAGTGGCTACTACAGCCTGTGGACATTTGCGAATAAATTCATAGAAAAAGGCCACATAATATGTGTTGTATATCACACTGAAGACTAAGATGACATGTCTTATACTTTGGAGTATACTGGCTCTAGTCATATTTCAGCAAAACGGTGCTTCTGGCTGTTTTAGATCTGACGTTATATACCGACCCGTGAAGTAGTGACGTAAGTAAACATATTACCCCATATAATGCCGTGAGTGGTAAGAGCCGATGGGAAACCAAAGTAGGATAAAGTCAGCAGCATCTTTCTAATACTTACTATAAACTTAAAATATTTTTAAAACTGCGTTTGCGAACCCACTACGCGGTATTCTGTTGTGGGACGCCTTTGTTAAGCAGTGGATTTTTGACGAAATGTATGATGGAATATATTATGATAACGCTTCCCCAATATCGGAATTCATATATGTAATAAAACATATTATAGTACGTGAGGGTAATATGGTCATCCGGTTAATATGGTCACTTTCTTATAACTTAAAAACTACAGCCTTGTTTGCATAGATGGCTTTGTGATACGATAACTCATGATGATCAGTCAATCAAATACTACTCGCAAAATGTCAAAAGGGCGACGCTTTATCGACGCCATGTTAACAGTTAACATTATAGTAAATATTTAAGCCGATTTTAGTATTGTGTAATATACTTAGTTAGTTATTTAAGTAGATTTTTCTAAGTAATCCTAATTATTGCCTAGGCTTGTTTGCTATTTTTTTTAATGTATTAACTACTAGCTGTGTAGCAAACAAACGAACGAACAAATAAACGGAGCCACAAACTAACCAAGAAACGAACAGGGAAAACTGTACGCTTGTGTTTTATTTTGTAAATAAACAACAAAATGACCTCTCTATTATCTTGATGTTAGTGCTGTTAGTCTATGCGACTCTTACAGCTTCATCTTCTCTCAGGGCTCGCGGCCTGCACAATAACTTAATCCCCAATTTGCTTCCGAATTTCTCTAGCCAATACTTGGCATCCATACAAAGAAAATAAGATGTTGCCCTAAATAAGCTAGCACTATCGCTAATTATTGATAACGAATAAAAAAATTGAAATGAAAACTACAATCCAAACATTTTAAACCTTTGTAATCCAATGCCTACCCAAAAATAAGTACATACACCATTGAAGTAATATGTACTCGTACTTACGTACTAGAACAGCTATCTCAAACAAAAATGTGCGCTACTCTGTGTTCGCGCGGTTGTTTTTTTATCATAGAATAGATATACGTAGAATGACCCGTAGGTAATAGTAGATTGTATTGTTAAATAGGTAAATTATATCGAGAACAATATTTAAATTTTGTCATTTATTTTGTATATTGTTTGCTTATTTAATATAATATTACATAATATTATATAACAATTACATTTTAATGATATTTTTATCCGAATATTTTAAAAGGTATCTAAGTCAAATATTAAAAAAAGCATACTAAATGTATGTTTGACAAAACTTATTAACGTAACATTTAAATTAGAATAAAAGTCGTTCATAAATGCTGGGCACGCGAGTGTTAAAAATGGACGAATTTATACCACTTTGACTTTGATGTGGAAACCTAAAAATAAAATAAAAAAATAACAAGCAGATTTAAACATGAAAAATTTTGTCAAATTATAATAAGTTATATATGTTTCTACAAAAAAATGAGTATAATAATATATTCGTCCTATACTTAAGTACCCACAGGAATGTCGCATCTGAACATATTAATTTCATAATCTATATTCCATGACACGAGATGGTGTCTTAGGAATAATTTGTTTTATTATTAATACATAATACGATTTTATTGATTAATCGATTATTAACCGATGAAAAGTAATTCCTTGGTTTTTACTGACATTTCTTGAATTATTTGTGCAATATCTAAGTACACACGACGGCGTATTTTTATCAAGAGATTTTTTTTAAATCAACACAACACGTGACAACTCTACAAGCGCCTAGCGAGTGACTGATTAAAGTGCGGTGTATGCACCGCAGTTGAGTGGAACAGACTAGCTGAATGCAGTGTCGCCTCTAGTACGTAGTACATAATAGCTCAATGACCTACACTAACAAAATAAATGAAATTGCGTAAGTATCAATATTTTGTCTCATCCTGCAAACAAATGAATAACAAAACTAAACTCAACCTAGGAAAGTTTTCTGACATTTAAGTAATATGTGTCATCCTTAGACCATCAAGAATGGTCTAAGGTGTCATCGGGCTGAAATTTATTATATAAGAATTATCCATAATTATCATAATTTCATTTTACGAATTTCCCTACCCCCATGCAATTAAAAACAATTTTTTCCGCCTGGTTTAACTTAACTCTTTAAGGTAAAATATTATTAGGACAATGAAAAAAAAAACTAAATGCATTATTTATTAAAACTACTTTTACGGATTTTATCGCGTTTATTTTACTATTATTTTTAATTCCCGACGTTTCGGGCGCTTTCCAGCACCCATGGTCACGGGGGGACTGAGATGACTGACGTCCCGATGTCATTGTTAAACCCGGAGTACCTTCAGCTTTTTTAATTATTGTTTATGGTCCGATCTATGCAACATGAACTGACTATGTCCTGAGGTCTTGCAGTGGTATGCTTGGGTTTAGTTTTAATTTTGAATTTTGAAACGTCGGGAATTAAAAATAATAGTAAAATAAACGCGATAAAATCCGTAAAAGTAGTTTTAATCAATGTGTAGTGTTCGCGTAAATGTAAGAAATCATAATTGCATTATGGTAATCCTAAAGTATTCATACTAATTTTAAATTTACAATAATCATTTAATAATTTTCTCCATACTAATATGAAATCACCCCGTAAAAACATTCTTAAAACCTTATTTTAATATCTACGGATTTTAATTTTTTAAGACTTCTTTCTTCATCATCCAGCGGTTTAAGCTGTAGATTTAATACAATATTTTTCATACAAAATTTGAACCCTTGTTTTAAAACCGTAATAGATTAATTTTATTATTTAATTACTTTAGAGCATTAAATATTTTTTCTCCCTTCAAATTTTACATTATCTACCCCCTTCTCCCTCCCCCGGTATTAAGAGGTTGTTTTAAGAAATACCAAAATATTTTATATAATCCATACAAAATTGCACATCCTCTGCCCCTGCCCCCTTACCGTAACGGGTTATTTTGAAATCGCAAAATACGTATTTATTGTCCTTCATACCTCGTTTTTAATTAAACCTTATGGTGCTTGAAAATACTTATAGCGCCATCTATATAAAATTATAGTAGTTAATTTATTATTACAGTAATGGTAGCTTCTCACTGCGTGTGTTATCACGCACAGCGCCGCGTCCGCACGCGCCATGTGAAGGGCTTGGCGTGGCGCGGCGCGGGCAGGCGTGGGTCGGCGTGTGCTATCCGTTTAAAGTCGGTAACTTCAAAGGCGCAGCGCGGAGCGCATGTCTAAAGCCAGCTTCTTACTGCGACGTCGCGCCGCACCCAAATTGATTTGTATGCGCATGAACGCGGGTGCAGTGAAAACGGGTGGCGAAGACTACACTACACGGAGGACTAAATTTAAAACGAAGACACGCTTCACAATTTTCCTCACGATTATTTTGATATACATCAGTACTTTATAGATGATATGTTAACAAACAAACAGACAGACAGACAGACGGACAGGCAGACAGACAATTCTAAAAATGATAGAAATGTATTCAGTTGTCGTCGTTAGTCGCTCTAAATCAATTTTGTTACAAAAATATAAAATGTACAGACATCTGCAATTTAAAATTTTATTATATATATATATATATATATATATATATATATATATATATATATATATATATATATATATATATAGATAGTATACGACTTGTCCATTTGCTTCTGTCCTCCTAGTTCTTGTTTTATAGGGCGGCAAAACCTAAGACGACCATATTACCCTTACGTACCGTACATAAATGCAAATTTGAATAGAACATTACTCTTAATAATTTTAATTTTAATAACAGATGATTAAGTAAATAAAATTTATACTTTAGATTACGTTTAATATGATTTTGATCACAATATAACCGTAGGTATATGAGAGAAATCCGAAAGGATAACACTATTATAAATTATGTTTGCACAGTCTCTCGAGGATCGTGCTGTATTCATTTAATAGAATTTACGATGGCTTAATGAAGTTTGAACCGCTTCATTTTACCCTAAGCTTAAAATTAACGGGCGCTATAGAGATTTTCACGCAACGTTAGATATCAATTAGCTTTGGGGGTTACGGAAATACATGAAAATATTAAAATATACTCAGTCTAAAACCGGCTTGACATGGGCCAAGCTCCAAGTGGGGACGATTATTTGTAATCGTAAAATTTAATATCGCAGTACCGCATTACTAATAATATAATAATATACTTGTAAATACAGATATAACTGACTGTTGTAGTACTCGTTGACACCTCACACCGTATTACCGGTGTTGCTCCCGATCATTAACTACGATTACGTAAATTTTAAGATGGTAATAGAAAATTATTTTATACATTAATTTAATTACTTAAATAAATATTGTGGTCCATAGACATTTACAATCGTTTTTTAATAAATCTTGGTACATACAGTTGATTTAGAGATAAAAATATTTGAGGATAGTATTTAAGCCGAATCTGGTTGTAGGATTAAATATTTACATACACAAGTAATATATATATATATATATATATATATATATATATATATATATATATATATATATATATATATATATATATATATTATTGTTTATAAGTATCCATAGACCATAAAATAACGTGGATATTAATTTTAATTTAATAAAATTATAACACAACAATTTCATTAAAAGATAAAATTTAAATTTACCTTTCCAGTCGTCGTTATCGTCGAACACTACGACTTCTCCATCAGCAACAACGGCTATGGGACTACTTTTGGTGCTGACGTCGATTTTTTTATGGGGATCGAGTATTGGAGAGCTGTTTTTAGGTATGGCCATGGTGTTCGCCTCAATGATCGCCTCCCGGTCACTGTTCGTATAAGTGGGCGACGTATGGCGTGATATCATTTTTTTCGGCTCATTGATAATTCTGTGTAGAGATATCTGTAAAAAAATGAAATAAACTCCTTATGATGTTAAAATGTACAATGTATTCTATAATATTGCTTTTAGTTCGTTGAATGTGTGTACCAGCAAACATTCAAACGAACTTTCATTTTCGTAAGAATTATACAATAATTTGTTTTGTAATAAAAAAATTGAATTATATGAACATTATAAAATAATCACATCAAAAGAATGAAATTGCTGTCATAGAATACGCAAGAAATTGATTGTTTGATTGTTTAAAATGGGTAAATCAAAACAACTTTTAGAATACAAAATTGTGTTTTACGATGTCAAGTTTTAGAGTGTTATACCGAGATGTGCGACATCTGATCATGAGATCCCTGGTTTGAATTCCGGGTCGGCCCAAAATCTGTTATTGAATTTTTCTGTCAAGAAATTCCCAGCTCGGAGTCACGGAATCGGCGGCATTTCAACCCCGTGTCTCGGAAAGCACATAAAGCCATTGGTCCTGTGCCTGATGTCTCACTCGTCGTGTCAATGTTTTACCCCATTTTGCGCACACACGCAGATGGCTAGATTCCTTTGAGACGGGATTCCCTGATCGAAATATGGTCTGAAGGACATTATTATTATATTGAAAAAAAAATTATAATATAGTATTCCTATTTTTAACACGATTTGTCTAAATAACTCTACCTGCATGTATGTATTTATGAATGTAATGGAATTTTATAATTCAGTTTTCACCTGCTTCCAGACTGATCTAAAATTCACAAACCTATTAAGAACCTATGACAATATAATTTATATACAATATCATTACGATGACCTAGTATCATCACAACTCATGATCTATACGTATTGGTTAAGTTTGATTTTAAATTAAAACAGCGAATGATGAGCGAATGATGAACATGCGCAAGCACAGGTGCACTCTCTATTTCCTCACTCTCATAATCCGATGGGACGGTAAACCGACACGACCCGAGGGAGATCAGGCATAGGACCAACGGCGTTAAGTACTTTCCCGAGGCACGGAGGTGAGACACCGCCAACTTCCTGACACCGGGCAGCTACTGATAATTTCTTGACGGAAAACCTCAATAATTGGTTTTTGGCCCGATCCGGGATTCGAACCCTACTCTAGACCAACGAGTCAGTCAGGTAATATAATTAATGTATATTAAGTATCATGATTAGTATAATGCCCTATAATATGTTATACCTAAAAAATAACTGAAAACTAGTAAGTATTATTACATTGTTGCCTCAACCTCAACTTATGTTCATTAAATCACAAACAAGAATGATCTCTGAATTAAAAGTAGAGTCCAAAAAACAATAAGCTTTAAAAAAAAGTTTATAGTCGATGTAGGCGGGAACAGTCCCAAAAGATAAGTACATAATAGAAAGGGGAGTTTTTGCACAATATTTGTAAAGCTTTTTCAAGATGAACATATGGCAGATTCTATAGTCTGAGAACACACAGTTTTACACCGTATCTTCAATATTTCCGATTAAGAACATACCTCATTGTTAATGTTGTCCGTATAGTCGTTGGATTCCTTAGTCAGCGAACGTTTGTTTCTCAGGTTCTGCTTATGCGTGTTGTTGTGTCGAAGCTTGCGCACAGCCTTCGCGCGGCTCTGGGAGTACAGCTCCCGACCGCCCGCTATCTCGATTATCCTAAATCCGATTGAAATAATTTAAAAATAAATTAAAAAGAAAATGTAACCAGCCAGCAATATTTTTTTTATATATTAAAAGTGCGACAAGCGAACACACAGCCCATCTGATGGTAAGTGGTTGTTGTGGATGCCTACAGACATCTACATCTACCATCGAATAATAAATTGTAGGTGTGTCGTCGCACCTGAGGACTAAGATGGAATGCCTCGTATACAATTAAGAAGGGTCTAGGATTCTCCACTCTCGCCATACGAAATACCACAGCATTTAGCTGCTATTTCACGCTGGTATTCTGTGAGAGCGTAGTCCTTCCCCGGTCGAGCCGACCCATTACGAGCTACAACGATAATATACCTGCAACCTGGTTAAAATTCTTTCTCCAATTTAAAAATTGGATTTAAATTAAAGTGTACTTTATCGACCTGTGTCTCCAATAACGAAATAACTGTTTTTTATTCAGCAGAAGAGATTATTTCTATGCCATTTAAGACAAATATAACCGTTTAAAAAAATTGTCCGTCTATCCATTCTAACCTCCGGAACGGCTGAAGCGATTATGATGAAGCTTCACCAACAGGTAGAGAACAGTACCGGGAGTGAACTAGACTATATTTTAACCGACTTCAAAAAAGAAGGTTTACAATTCGACTGTGTGTTCTTTTGTAAGTATGTTATGCGATATCTCCGTCAATTGTAAACTGACCAAAAAACCAATTTGGTTGTTTTTTTAAAAATAAATAGCTAATACCTCATGGGGACTGGGAAATGGGACAATCCATATAATTTACATTAAAGAAAACTTGAAGAAAATATTGCCCCTTAGAAGTGGCAAGATAGCAGATAATTAATGTAACTACATAGATGACATTGAGATTGTGATTCCTTAGTTCACATAAAAAGGTAAAAAAATAATAATATTATTTTGTAAGGATACGATGATCATGTTATATGTTTAAAAAAATAAAGTAGTATTAGACCGCTATATCCCGCTGGTACTCAGTCCGAGTTATGGTTGCCATCCGTATTACAATATATAGTATCGTACTATATTTCAGTCAATTGTACTATATATTATAGAAAAATTGTATAGTACTATATTTTAAAAATACTATATTTTATTCCTAATTCAACTGTTGCGCTTATTCATATTAACTGTGATTGGAAGTCTGAAACAAGGAGGTTTTGGGAAAGATTTTTTTCCGTCATTAATGCAAATTGAAAAAAGAAAAAGAGCATGTATTAATTTAATTAAAAATTAATTGTTAATTTATTTAATCATGAATCTAAATTGCTCAGACTCCTATTATAATAATTATAAAGTTAAGGTAGAAGGTAAGGAAAGCAAAGAGTAATAACAAATATATGTGGAAAAATACATAAAGATGAAAAATAAATTTTTACTAAGTATTTTTTTCTCTTGAATTTCTCAAAAGTACTATATTTTTGCAGCTTTTTTGAGAAAAATACTACATTTGTTAAAAAAAAGGCGGCAACCCTAGTCCGAGCAGATTGATGCTGCCGCAACCATAACACGTTGCAGTTGCAGCGTTGCTCTACTATGTACAATAATCATCATCATCATCATCATCATCATCATTAAAGCTCATCACGAGTCCACTACTTAATATAGGCCTCCACCGAGGAATGCCACAAAGCACAGTCCTGAGTCATCTGCATCAACTCAGTCAATGACTCAATGACGGACGTTACTACAACTAGTGCAATTTTTAAATACCTTCCTCTAAATAAATTAAACATGAAATCAAGTATTTAAAACTGCAATTCGTACAGATTTTGACCACAGACAGATTTTTGTATACGTGGTATAGCCATGCTACAATTCTATTAGTAGTATAGTTGTATAGGTTGCGCCACGAATCATGATATTAATTAGCGTCCACTGCGCATGTACAATTAAGCAGAAAAATGCAAATTGTATTATGACATTTTAATATGTAAAAAGTCAAAGGTCGACATTATAACTACACATCAAAGTCTCCACGAAAAAGGAACGATATTTTTATATAATATCATCGTTAGGTTTTAATTGCTGCTAAATAATATTCTGTATTTTATGTTCACTTAGTTAAAGAAATAAAATATTTTATTTGTAATTGCTGTTTTGTCTCAAGACGACATACGTGATTTTATTGTTAATAACTTTTTAGATGTTAATGTATAAAGAAGTGCAATACACTGTTAGAAAGCTTTATTAAATACAGTGTTAAACACTGATGTTATTGTTTTTTTTTACTTCATTTAAAATATATACTTAAATTCATGAAGAAACATGTGGTTTTTTTCCGGGACTAGTTGAACCTCTCTTTTTTCTTACATGCTTCAGTCATCTTTCAATAGATCTTGCTATTTTTAACAAATCTCTTAAAGTTTTATTTACAAATATTGTACAACAATATTTTTAAAAAGTCCAAAAATAATCCCATAAATTTCAATATTGTATAAAAGGTAGTCGCTAACACTTTCGATATCGATAGTACGCAAGACGACACAAGGATGTGCGCGGGCGACGGGATGCAGGGAGACACTACGTGGGGATAGCGCGTCGCCCGTTGCTATGGTTTCGCTTCCCCGTAACTCATACCGCACCGCACTACCTGTTTTACGCTCTGCGCAGTTTCATCACACGTGGCGGGGCTTATAGCTCGAATGGGTCGCCTCAACCGGCGACCACGCTTTCACAGAACACCAACGTGAAATAGTAGCTTAATGCTGCTGTTTCGTATGGTGAGTGTAGAGAACAGGATCTCTCTTTAGTGGAAACGAGGCATTCCATCTTAGTCCTCACGGGTGACAACGAATCTGTATTTTGATTTGTAATCGAGGATAGATGTAGATGTCCAAGGGCCGCAGCAAACAATTACCATCAGGTGGACTGTGTGCTCGTTTGTCATCTTATCCTATAAAAAAAAAACATAATTTTAAGTTACGAGTAAGCCGTGTTAAGCTCCAATAATTAAGTGATAGCACTTTTTAATTTTTATTGGGTTGTCTGTTGTCATAATTTTTTGTAGTTGGTGTTTTGAAAAACATTTACCATTTAATATCGATTTTCCTGCACTTCGTTTACCGGTACAAGGCTGCCACTCGCCTTTTTACCATCGTCTTTTAGAGTTAAGAGCTATGACCGGCCCATTGCAGCTTCAGCTTACTAACCCGTTGCGCTATTCCAGATACTTTAGTTTTGCACCGGATATCTTTATTACGAAGGCTATATCCGAGCATTGACCTCTTCATCTTACGTGTAGTGGCGGTGTAAGAATATCCACTACCCCATATCATCCCGTGGATGTCGTAAGAGGCGACAGAGGGAAACGAATCAGGAGACGCGCAGGAGCGTCTTCCTAATAACGACTTAAAATAACAAAACCGGTAGCCAACCCGCTTGCCAAGCGTGGCAACTATGGCGAATATCCCCCCTATGAGGCAATTCATAGGAGAGGCCCATGTTCAGTAGTGGACAGTAAGAGCTCTTCCTGGCTCACTAAACGACCTTGAGGTTCCTCATACGGCCGAAGCATTGGATCAGACGGTCGCCAAATGGCGACATATCGAACATATGCGTACTAAAATAAACTTAAAAAAATGGTTGCGTGCAAATAGTTTTTCCCCAGACTTATAACTCCAAAAACTTGTAATATCTCATGTTAGCGACCTTGAGATATCTCGACGGATAGGCCTTTAAGTGAACCTGGACAACACATAAGAAATATTATATTATAATTTTTCATTTTGTATTCACCTGGAATCTCTCAATTTGTAGGTGCCTCCCTTGGAGTTCAATATGACCAGTTGTCCGTCGGTGCCGCGCTCCTCGTCTGAGGACACGTTGTTCACGTTGTTCATCTCTCGGCCCTCCACACCGGAGTTCAGCCTGCAAGCCAAGATGATACTTGTATTATAATACGATCCATAATAAACATTCCAGTATCCCTTATTCTTTCGGAATACGGAATAACGGATAACCGAAAGCGTTAGCTAAGCTCGATTTCTATTTCATAAAAATCTCATTCGTAAAGAGGTCTACTTTATGAAAGTCTCAAATCAGTGGCAATTTTTTTATGAATTGTAGGTTTCATTCAGAATACTAAGCCAGTTCTTAGAGCATAACTTTTAATTTCAATCCATTGCAGTAACTATGGCATGTTGCCACGGTTGGCAGACACGTTGGCAACTGCGGTTTTTATATTATTTTGAGTTGTTATAAGGAAAGGAGCTGCATCAACTGCCCATGGATGGAAACTGAACAGGAGTTAAGTTTCCATCTGTCGCCTCTTACGACACCCACGGGTCGATATGGGCATAATTTTTATACATGGTAGAGCCATGCTGCAGTTATATTAGTAGCATAGTTGTAGCACGAATGGGTCGGCTCGACCGGGGAAGAACCACGCTCTCACAGAATACCAGCGTGAAATAGTAGCTTAATGCTGCTGTGTTTCGTATGGTGAGTGTAGAGAACCGGAGACCCTTTGTACTGAAAACGAGGCATTCCATCTTAGTCCCTAAAGGTGACAATGCAACTGAAACCTTCCTTTTTTGAAGTTAGCTGCAGAAGCTACTTACCATCAGGTTGACGGATAGTCCGTTTATCACGTCAGGTTTAAAAAAATCGGCAAAGTTCAACGTAAAGAAACGAAACTGCAAAGATCAATATTGTGCAAGGGCCCTAGCCCTAGTCGATGGCACGAACTAAATGGTGGGCGGGGTTAAAATGCATGCTATCTCAGCCGACATCACGTGCGAAAGCGAAAAGCATGATGATTTACAACAAAACGAGCGCGCGAAATTTTATAAACAGACCGTTGGGAATCTGGATATCATGAAAAATCTATTGAATGTATCTGATCAAAATAAAATGTTTTGCACTTTTGAGTACCTAATTTATCCTTTTATGGTAACTGTTTTGCAATTTTCGTTCTTCTTATGGAATTTATTTTCGCCCAAAAATGTGTTAAAATTGTTACTTTTAAATATATTCTTTTCTTCTTACTTTTTTGTTTCCATACGGGGCTAGATAATGATGAGACAAATTGAAATATTTTTTATTTTGAACGTACACCATCAAACAGTAGAGTAATCGCCAGACTACGTTTGTATGGAAGACAGAGTGACTAGTGTACCCTCAAGGGACTTGAGGGAGTATTTTATTGATTTAATAATGCAAGATAATTTAAAACAATATTATTGCGGGATTATCCCGCACAAACTGGTACGGTTGGCCGCCTCACGCATAGTTGTCAATTGACGCTTTAGAAACCTGATAATTGTTTTGTAGCTCCCTACAGATACAATCATAATCGTAAATCAAATCTACAGTTGTCATGAACTACCTCGTAGCTCAAACAATTTTATGCGTGGTAGAGCCACGCTGCAGCTATATTATAGTTGAAGCACGAATGGCTCGGCGCGACCGGGGCAGCACCACGCTTTCACAGAATCCCAGCGTAAAATAGCAACTTAATCCTGCTGTGCTTCATATGGTAAGTGTAAAGAATCGGAGACAATTATTACTGGAAACGAGGCATTTCATCTTAGTCCCCAGGGGTGACAACTCATCTGGATTTTAGTTACATCCTCTATACACAAGCTGGGCACTGACCATCTCTCATTTCTTAGAGGGTTTTTCTGGCAAGGAAGTATCAGTCGCGCTGTCACGCGTTGGTGGACTTCACATCGTCATCATGCATTACCAGTCCTTCACAAGGCCACTGCTGAACATAGACCTCCCCCAAGGAATGCTACAAAGCACGGTCCCGAGCGACCTGCAGCCATCGAATTCCTGCATGACAATTGACTTCACACATACAGGTTTCCTCATCATGTTTTCCTTCATGGTCTAAAACGTGATAAATACGCCCTTAGAATTTATTTACCAATTTGTAATCATTAGGCTGCTCGCGTACTGAGAAAAGTAAAATACCAATAGTGCGAAACAGCTTAATTTTAACAAGGCTACAAAAAAAAAAACAAGAGCACACAAAAAGCGTAGATACACATTACACTGATGTAGACGTAATACAATAACCATACACATAATTAGTTATTACATAGCAAACAACACAATGTATTTATAACATAAAAGATGAAATAAAAAATAATAAAAAGAATGTTCAAGATTAAAACTGTGATTTTAAATGATAGGGACATTCAAGTACGAAGAGAAGAACTAATTGCTTTTTAATACGGAAGAAGTAATTAAAAATCTTTTATAAGAAGTGCTTAATGGTGCTTAGTGTGCTTAAGCTTAAGCTCGGATTATTCGTTGACAACGTTAAGTTAATATATTACGATAAATTGCATAATCTAGATTTCTTTATTTTGTTTGCTTCTTCGTTTTATAAAAAAAACAACGTTACCCAACACATTAGGATTTTCTTCAGAATCGTGGAGGCAATGTGCATACATAAATTGCACAAGGATATCCACACCCGGAAATAAACAACTAAAAAAAATTACTCAGTCGTATTGCAATCCCTTTAAAGATGAAAACTTGAAAAGTCTTCTAATAAAATAAAAAATAATTGTTTAAATACCATAATACATATTGAAATGGATATTTGTGCACTAACATGAAACGAAAGATGGAGGAATTTGCCATAGCAGTACCATATAACTAACGTAAAGTAATGAACTTCGTCTCACACCTGAATGTATAAATTTCCTCGTCTCTGGTATGTAAATAAACGAAAACTTTACGACTTCCACGACCCATTTCACGTGTAGACGGCGTAAGGAGCGAGACGTACGGCCTCGTTTAACAACAGTGGCGTTTCGTTATTAAGCCGCGATCACGTGAGCGGTTCAAAGGTAATAAGTTAGCGGGAACCCGTTCTGGCACGCGAACGGGTGATTACGTAGCGTTGTATACGATTTTTGGAAACGAGTTGTTGATGAATATAATAAAATATTTTTTTTAAAACGTTACCTACACACTAAGACTTTCTCGTCGTGGCAGTTTACATATATTTCCGGAACCGGAACAATTATTTGTAGGTCATACAAATATTTGTTCCATGCGGGATTCGAACACGCGGCCCTTAGTCCTGCAATGGTTAAGCCATTACAATTACACTACGTAATTGTAAATTATAGGACTTCTATGTGGTAGGACTTCTTTTGAGCCTCGGAGGCCATCTAGGTAGGCACAACCATCTAACCTACTTATGTCGTCAAGCAAAAGTGGGTGCTATGCTGTGCTATTCCGGTCTGAAGGCTATAGAGAGCCTGTAATTGTAAGGCATTTTTAAAGTTAACATCACACTAACGCTGTTTAATGGTTGTTCACAATAAATGGTACAAAAAGTTAGTTAAAAACTACTCCTTATTACTAGAAGTAGGGCATGGAAATAAATTAGCGTAAAGGAATAACCTACAAAAGTTACCTAGCTCCTCCCCAATTACAAGAAGTTATATTTCTAACCGATCTTTTTTGTATAGGGCAAGGCAGGAAAGGGGTACTGTCACCCAGTGTGCCGTAAAATTCATTGCTGATTTACCATGTGCTCGGCGGTGAAAGAAAACTTTGTAAGGAAACTTTTTACACGTGGTAGAGCCATGCTGCAGTTATATTAGTAGTATAGTTGTAGCACGAATGGGTCGGCTCGACCGGGGAAGGACCACGCTCTCACAGAATACCAGCGTGAAATAGTAGCTCAATGCTGCTGTATTTCGTATGGTGAGTGTAGAGAACCGGAGACCCTTTTTACTGGAAACGAGACATTCCATCTCAGTCCTCACGGGTGACAACGCGTCTGCATTTTGATTTTTAATGGAGGATAGATGTAGATGTTTATGGGCCGCAGCAACCACTTACCATCAGGTGGACTGTGTGCTCGTTTGTTTTGTTTTCGTCACCCTATTCTAAAAAAAAAAAAAGGAAACCCGTATGCCTGAGGAACAAAATATTTCGAGGAAATTCAAACTGGAGTGTCGGACTGATTGCTCCTACATCTCAGAAATGAGAGGAGGCTTGCAGGACGAAATAAGTTGTATTTTTGTCTAAAGCTAAAGATATAAAGTTGTGAGAATACAACGTAGCTTCTCCATAGTTTTCCTAATTTTTTTAATTGCGTACTAAGTGATCCCGACTAGTATGCAGTTTCAAAGTCCTAACCGCATTGGAATAGGATTCGTACTCGATCGAATTCGACAACAGTTACATTTATCTTTTTTTACCCGACTTGGCAGAAGGGTTATGTTTTTCGCGCGATCTTGTATGTTTGTAAATTTCTTTATTACCTCGTATCTTCCAAACGGCTGGATGGATTTCGACAATTAAGGTATCGTTTTATTCGTCTTAATAACTCAAATGTTCTCTTTTTTCAAATAAACAAAATGGCGGATTTTTGGCGCAAAATAATAATACGTAATTGTAGCATAAGGGCGACAAACGAACACAAAGTCCGTCTGATGATAAGAGGATTGCTGTGGCACATATACATCTACATCTATTCTCGACTGAGAATTAAAATGCGTTAAGAAATAAAATATAATGCCTATTTTCCAATAAAAAGGTTCTCCAATTCAAGTCTTTACACAATATGACTGATAAATGAACACACAGTCCACCTGATTGTAATGATTACTGTGACTCTACTTCTAGATTGATAATGAAAATGTATATGCGTAGTCATCCCTGAGAACTAAGAGAGAATGCCTCGTTTCCAGAAAAAGGGTCGCAAATTCTCTACTCACACCAAACGGAATACAGCAGCACTAAGCCTACTTCTACTTCCCCGGTAAATATTTCATTTTTACTAAAAGCTATCAATTTTACTAATAATATTACTCTACAGACACTTTAATCCCATCACCATTACGAGCACTGATGGTTCTGCATCATTATGTTGAGTTGGATACTAAAATATGATG